AGGGCCCTTGGGAGCCTGCTCCTCACAGGAAGTTCCCAGGAGCAAGCTTCCGAAGATGACCGGGTGGCGTGGGGCCCAGCAGCTGGGGCACAGGGCTCGGGGCTGCATGGAGTGGGGTGCATGGAGGGCAGAGGGGTCATGGGGAGCCCACGGGGGTCTCCAGGCGCTGGGGAAATGGGAAAACTCAACTGAGACCATTTCTTGCTCGTCCATCTCGGGCCATCCTTCCGGCCCCACAATGACCGCTCCACTGAAAACCTGGACCATGGCTTTCTCCTGCTCAGGGGCCTCCCGCGCCCCACGCCCAGCACGTAGCCTGGAACTCGGGCCCTCTGTGAACTGCCCTGGCCGCCTTCCCCGCCTTCTCCCGTGCACGTCTGCCTGTGCCCTCAGCAGACCAGCTGGGTGCCGTGTGCCTGCTGCCTCGGGGCCTCTGCACACCTGGCGTACCCTTCCCTGGCATTTCCTGACATCCCCCTTCCCCCGCTCAGGAAGTCCCATCTTTATGACATCTTCGTTCTGATGGGCTCCTTGTCCAAGGAATACCCGCCCCCCGGCCCAGCCATACCCCGGCAGCAGCGGGTTTGAGGACCCTCTGCCTCCTCTGCTCAGAGGCTCTCTCTACCCTCAGTTTCCCAGACCCAGGTGGACAGACCCCTTCCTCTCACCGATCCTCTCAGGAAACATCTACTAGGCACCTACTGTGAACTGGTCCACCTACTGTAAACCTACTATGTGGCTAGCACTTGACTCTGGGCCTGCAGCAGTGGTTCCGTCTTCGTGGGTCAGGGCTGGAGGGAGTATTTAGAGGCAGGGTGGGGAGAACGCAGGGGGCAGTGGAGGGGTGTCACAGGGTGGCCCGGTTCCCGTCGGGGAGAAGGTCAGAAAGTGACTTTTAAGGAAGAGCCTGGTAAGCTGTGGGGCCGAGTCAGGGTATGGGGTTGTAACCAAGAGCCAGACCCAAGCTCCCTGTGGGGACCTCCCAGCTTCATGGGCACTGGACCAACAAGTCACCGGGCAATCCCAGGACAATGGGATCAGAAGCCCAGGCAGCTGTGGGAATTCGGGGGGGAAAGCTGCAGATGGAGCCGTGGAGGGGCGGGGATCAGGAAGGGGTTCCCAGGGCAGTGACACCACACTGACTTAGTGGTTGACGGGGACCTGGCAGGGTTTCGGCTGGTGATGACCCCCAGAGGGAAGGCCACAGCCTGTGCAAAGGCCCCGGGGCACAAGAGAGCAGCCATTTTTGGAGGAACCTGCAGACGGGCTGGAGAGGGGGAGGTACTGCTGGGATGTATATGGCCAGCAGGGCCGCCTTGGCAAAGAGTGCTGTGCCGGGGAGTGTGGAGCTGTGCCCAGACGTGATGGGAACATGGGGGGGATTTGAGTAGGAGTGAGGGGAGCCGGGGCGGGCTTCCCTGTGGCCTGGCCCTCCTCTCTAAAGCGCCAGAGAGGAGGGCCAGAAGCCTCATGGGCTGCGAGCCGCATGGGGTATCTGCTTGCCAAAGCTTGCTGAACCTTTAATTTTATTAAAAATGCTCCTTAAATAAAAGTCACATGTCCATCCTGTAGAAAAATCAGCTCGAACACCACTGCTATTAGCATTTTTGTGTGTATTTTCCTGTTTTTCTCTCGGAACCTAAGTGTGTGTGTGTGTGTGTGTGTGTGTGTGTGTGTTGTATCACAGGTATTTTCTGAACGACTGCAGGGTGGTTTTAATCCTTCTTTCTAACGGGGGAAACGGGGCTCTGGAGCCCCACTTTCTTGGTTCCTATCAGACACAGACTGTTTGACCTTGGGCAAGTTCCCTGATCTCTCTGTGCCTCAGTTCCTCTTAAGGCCGATATGAGCGCTAAATAAGTCATCACAATGCCAGCAAACACTGTCTATTATTAACGCTGTGGATTCTGCCATTTTTAGCATGATCTACAGAGCCATCCCCTCTTGTTTAAAATTTCGGATGAGTTCCAGGTTTTTGCTATTATAAGAAACCACTGAAGCAACCAGCTTCGTGTCCAAAACCTTATCTGTATTTGGGATATTTTCTAGGGAATAGATGACCCAAGAATGGGATTGCTAGGCCAGGAGGTCTGAAAAGTTGTAGAGCTTGTGACACATTATTGCCAGATCCAATGTACACTCCCAGCAATCATGGGAGTGCCAGTGTCGCCACAGGCTCGCCAGCATTGGGTATTATCATTTTCTTATATATGTTTGCTATTTTAACAGGTGAAACATGTTTAATTTTCACTGGTAAGGAAGCAGAACCATTTCTTGTGTGGTTATTAGCCGTTAACACCCTTTTTTGGTCTGCCAGTCTTTATAGCGTGCACCCCCTTCTCAGATCAATTAGGAAGATGGGGCTGAGATACAGGAACTAGGAAACAGTATAACACAGGGGACAACGTAGAGCCAGGGTGAGTGGAAGGGACCAGGGAGGGGGAAGGGACTTCCCTTTACCCAGCCCATGACACTTTCAGTTCCTCCACCTAGACCATTCATTCATTCACTCATTCATTCAGACATTCACCAGGTACAGTGTGGGGCTGGACGAATAAATGGCCCAGCTGTGACTCTGTTCTCACAGAGGACCTGCCCGGCAGCAGAGATGGATGGGGAAACAGGCAGAACACGGAGTGATGAGTGTCCGGTGATGGAAATGCAGGGCAGAAAGGGAGCAGAGAGCATAGGTTCCCAACACGCTTGGGGTGGCGGAGGGCCCCAGAAGGCTTTCAAGAGGAAATGCCTGTAATCTGGGGCCCGAGGAACACCGTGTAGTTAACCAGCGAGATGGGGAGGGTGGAGGGCTCAGGGGGAGGAGGCAGTCTGATGGAAGGTTAAGGAAGTGAGAGGAGAAGCCGGACCCTGGGGAGACAGCTCCATCTTGGCCAGCAGGGGCAGAGCGTAAGGCAGAATAGCCGGGCAGGCCAGAGAGGTCAGCAGGGGCTGACTGTGTAAGGACTAAGGCAGGGGTCGGCAAACTCATTAGTCCACAGAGCCAAATATCAGCAGTTACAACCATTGAAATTTCTTTTGAGAGCCAAATTTTTTTAAAACTTAAACTTCTTCTAACGCCACTTCTTCAAAATAGTCTCGCCCAGGCCGTGGTATTTTGTGGAAGAGCCACCCTCAAGGGGCCAAAGAGCCGCGTGTGGCTCGAGAGCCGCAGTTTGCTGACCACGGGACTAAGGAATCCAGACCCTGTCTGCAGGGAAGTAGGGAGCTATGGAAGGCTCTGAGGGGATCTGATTTATAGTTTAGAAATACCAGCGTGACCGCAGAGAAGGGGATGGGGGATGGGGGCCGAGGTGGGGAAACCTAGAGGAAACTCTCACAATAGCTAGAAGGGGCCCGGACCAAGGCAGGAACGGTGTGGGCACACTTCTTTCCCCGCCTGACAGAATCCTAACCGGCTTCCAAGTGCAGATGGACTATTGCCTCTGTCAGGTAGCCCTTCCCGACATTGGCTACCCCTATCCAGGTTGTATGTACCTGGAGGGTGGGGCTGTGCAGGGTCTGGCTTGTCACCGTCAATTGAGTGTCCACCACTGGCCGACCTTGACCTCTCCCTGCTCCAGATCCTCCATCTTTCCCCCCTCCCCCAACCTTCCTTTTCTTCTTTTCTTTCTTTCTTTTTTCTTTCTCTTTCATTTTTAAAAGAATAAATTTATTGTTTTCAATATAAAAGCAACCCAACAACATTACAGAGACTCTGGAAATCAGGGAAACAATGACAGAAAGTCAGACTGGCTCCAGCCGCCTCCCCCAGCCTCCCCGCCTCCCCCTGGGCGCGGCTCCCCGCTGCTCGCCCTCTCTGCCGCAGGTTTTTATTTTTGCCTCTTTGTAATCACAGTGTCCGGGCTGCTCCCTCCCATTCGCTTTGTGGCCGCGCACGGGGTCTGGTCAGTTCTCGTTTTGTAATGTCTGTGGGATGGGCTGGGGATGGGGGATGGGACGTAAGTTGCTTAACCGCATCCCCCCATCCTGCAGTGGGCAAGGTTAGCTGCATTCTGCCCTGGGCTCCCCCATCCTCTCTGTGTCTGTCTGTCTAGGCCTCAGCCTGCCGGGGTAGCAGGGCCCGGCCCCTGGTGTCCCCCTTCCGCAGTGCCCCATCCCAAGGTCCCCCTTGTGCAGGCTGCTGGGCAGGCCTCAGAGGCCAGCTTCCTGGGACAGGGTGGTAGACAGACGTGGTTTTAAATCCAGACTGGGCTCTGTGACCCCAGACAAGTGACTTAACCTCTCTGGACCGCAGTTTCCTTATAATGGGTCTATTTCAACAGTAAAATAATGGCTGTACAAGGCCCTGACAACACTGTTCCTGGCCTACCGTGCTCAAGAAACGGTAGTGGATATGATTATACTTTTTCATTCTGCGTAGAGTTTCTGAGACCACCATGGGCTAGATGCTAGGGTGGCAGTGGTGAGTCAGCACCAGCCCTACCTGGCTTGAAGGATGAGTGGGCATAACCTGAGGTGACCAGACGTCCCGCTTTTGGCGGGACAGTCCCAATTTTTAACGATTTGTCCTGCGGCGTTTTAAAAAAGTCCCGATTCTTTCCAAAAATCGGGACTTTTTAAAAACGCCACGGGATGCGGGACAAATTGTTAAAAATCGGGACGTCTGGTCACCTTAGCATAACCTGGTGGGGAAGTCGCCCAGGGAGGCAGATAACCCTGTGGTGCTGGGAGGCATCCCATTCCATCACCAGCTAGCTCTGTGGCTTTGGGCAAGCTGGTCAACGTCTCTGAGCTGCTGTTGCCTCTCCTGTTAAATGTGCATTTCGCAGGGTCATTGGGAAGATGCAGTGACATGTGCCTGTGACGCAGTCAGCACCGCGCCTGGCACATCATAGGTGTGGAAATGAACGGTAGCTGCCATTTTATTATTCTTGTTGTTGTTCTCACATACAAGGTGCTGTTGGGAACACAGAGGAAGTGGCTGACTGGGGGTTCAGGGAAAGCTCCGTAGAAGAGGGAACACTTGAGCTGGGTCTTGAAGGATGAGTAGAAGTTCACCAAGTGGGAAAGGACACTCTAGGTAAGCAGCCTGTGGTTCCAGGTTGAAACCTGTCACCGAGGGGTCTGTTCTCTGGGGGATTACGCCATTGTGTTCATCCCAGCTTCCCTGAGCACCCCTGCTGCCCCCCTCCGGGTCTGCACCCGGGGTCATATGCATGCACCCACGTTAACAGCATCCTCCCGTGACTCTGTGTCCTGGGGGCTGTGGGCTCCTGCTCCTGGGAGTTGCTGTGTCCCTCTCTGTCCGTGTCCAGGTCTGTGTGTCTGTCATGTGTGTCTGACTTCGGTGCTGTCTGTCTGCATGCTCCTGTGGTCACGTGTGTCCATGTTGCTATGCAGAGAACCTGCCAGGCCATACCGCGGGTGGCTGCCTAGACACACTTCCTCGGCCTCCAGCTCAGCGACATAGCCAGGCCTCCTGGCTCCCTCTCCTGCCTGGCCCAGGTGTGAGGCCTGCCCGTCACCTCCATTACCAAGGGCCTCCTGACGGGTGTTCTCTCACTGCCTCCACTTCTGGCCTGTCCAGCCCCGTCTACACTCAGCCGTCAGAGTGGGGGGTCTTTCTAAACCACAGATTCCGTCCCATCACCCACTGCTTCCAGTCCAGACTCCAGGCCTAGGATTCGGGGATCGACCTGGCTGACGGCTCCAGCCTCGTGACCTGGCTCCCGGTCCACACCGGAATGCTTTAGCGCCCTCCCACGCCGTGCTGCTCACCTCCGGGCCTTTGCTCAGGCTGCTCCTTCTGCCAGGAGTGCTCCCCACGCCTCTGCCTGGCCAACGTCCACTCCTCCTTTAAGACCCCAAGCCGGCATCACTGCGGCTGGGGAGTCCTCTGGGGTCCTTTCCTTCCATCCCGGGTCAGGACCCTGGCTCTGGGCTGCTCTTCCCTTACGCGGGGGCCGAAGCAAGGGACTTGCCCAAGATCACACAGTTGGTGAGTTGGAGCCAAGATTTGAACCTGGGTGCACTGGGCTCCACGCAGAGCAGGCTGTTCCGTGGCAGGTGAGGGGACCGGAGCTGGGACGTGTGGAAAGGAGTGAGAGTTCCGAGGACGTGGCTGGCAATGGATCGGAACTGGGAAGAGAGGGGATGCGTTGTAGATCAGTGTACGTATGTGGCAAGAGCCTGTGGGCAGCTGGGAGGCCCTCTTGGAGGTGGCAGTGGCTAGAGGAGGTGGCCAGCTAGGGAAAGACCAAGCCCAGCCTAGGCCGGCCAAGGGAGAGGCCGGGAGGCAGCCAGAGCGCTGTCAGGGAGGCGGCTGGAAAGTTGGGTCTGGAGCTCTAGGAAGAAGCCAGGGCTGGAGGTGGAGGCGTGGGGGTGGTTGGCATTGAAAGCCCTAGAGGAGGTGGGCCACCCAGGAACTGAGGTCAGTGGGAAAGCAGAAGCACCCGCGCTACCCGAAAAAGACCCAGATGAGGGAGCCCGGTGTCACGCACACAGACCTTCCCAAAGGACCCAGCTGGCAGGGACGCCACGTGGGACTGGAAGATGTCTGGTTAACGTTGTCTGAGGTCAGCGTTGACTACGTGGGTGGCACATAGTAGGTTTCTTAGCCAAAAGCTCTTTTTCTCAGAAACTTGGGTCACTTGTCTGCTTCCCCCACTCAGCTTGGGGCTCCCAGAGGGCAGCCCCCTTCTGTTTGCCTCGGGTCCCCCAGCACTGGCTCCCCGTTTGGCCCGTAAGGTGTATGCAGGATGAATGGATGGACGGGTGGGTGGGTGGGTGGAGGGGCGGCTGCCATCAGGATGCTGTTTGCAGAGGCAGCTCTGGAAGGTGTTTCATGCATCCACCCAACTCTTCCCCCTTTTTTAGAGCAAAAAAACCAAAATGAGAGCCCACTGCAAGGATCAGTGCGAGGATCTGTCCGGGGCTTGAAGCCCAGTCCACGTGTCCTTCCCACCACCAGCGTGTCTCCTCCACCTGTCCTGCCGTGGACACTGAGCCCCACCCAGTCTGCTCTGCCGCCATCCCCTCTGCCCCCAGTGCTGCCCACAGGCTTCTTCCTCTGACCCCTGAGGGTCATTGCCCTCCCCACCCCCCATCCAGAACACCTCCTGAGGCCTTCTCATCCCCAGCATCTATCCCAACACCTTAGCATGGCGTTCAAGGCCCTGCCAATTGGCCTGTATCTCTCACCCCCACCACTCTCTCCAGCTTCCTCTTTGATGCCAGTGGCTAGCTGCCCACTGTCCCAAACCTGCCTTGGATTGGCATAACCTCTGCTCCAGCTGGTGCCTCTGCCAGGAATGCCCTCTGCCTCGTCCACCTCTCTTATGCACACATCTGTCCAGTCTCTCTCCTGCTTAAAACCCTCCCTCGAAACAAGGTCTGAGGGGCTTAGTCCAGCCCTGGCCACCTTTCCCCCCCCGCCTCCTTGCCAGCCCTCGCCCCCCCTCCCGTGCAGGTCCCGGGTGGCACAGATGGACACACACCTCCCAAGCCTGCTGGGGGACTCGCACGCGATGCTCTTGGTGCACACCTAGCCATGTGTCTGACGTTCAGTAGAGACTCAGCGCGTGTTCCCCCGCCCCACCTCAGCCAGCCTTCCCTGCATCTGACACACAGTAGGTACACACCAGGACCAAGATCATCACTGAGCCATTAAGTTATTTCAGACCAGCCAGAGGAGGGTGCACATTAGGCAGAGGCTGTGCAGCTCAGATTAAAGACGCAAGGCAGAGCCTTCCCCTCTGGGCCTGCTTCCCCATCCAAGTGGGGGGGTGGGGTGGTGGTCCCTGTCTGGCTGGAGGCCTGGTCAATGGCAGAGAAGATGCTCTGTTGCAGCTATGGGACCCTAAGCAAGCCACTCTCTTCCACTACCTTTCTGACCAGGGCCGGGCTTGGGAAAGCCTGAACTTGGCATTGGGTTGAAGAGGAAGGGGAGGAGGAGGAGGAGGAGGAGGGGACAGCTTCCCCCAGAACTGTCTCAGGGACAGCGGGGTGCAGTGGCCAGAGTCCTAGGCCAGGAGTGTTTCATTCCACTTTGCAGACGAGGAAAGCTGGTGCTCAGAGAGCTGATGCCCCCCACTGCAGCCCAGCGCTCCTTCCTGTTCCCCCTTCCCTGTGGCCTGCAGCCAGGTGCTGCCCTCAGAGTGCCCTGGTGTCTTCCTCTGTGAAATGGGGGTGAACCCTCTTCCCTGCTCCCCGGGGCTCTGAGGAGCATGCCAGTGGGTACAGAAGAGCTTTGTCAGCTGTAAGCAGTGCTAGATAGTTGTGTGGAGTTGTCTTTAAGATAATTCCGATTATTATGCCTCCATTTATTCATTCACTGTCATGCAACTCACTTTATTAATAGCCTCGGGGCCGGAACAGCTAAGGGAGTGATGGGCTGGACCTCAGAGCCAGGCAGTTTAGAGGGGGAATCTGAGCTCTCTACTTACTTGCTGTGTGACCTTGACCAAGTCATCCCATCTTTTTGGACTTAAGTTTCCTCAGCTGTAAAACGCGGGGGATGAGAGCACCTGCTTTTCAGGGTCAGGGTGCCTGGCCCAGGGTAACCGCAGCCCCTCACTGTTGTTACTGTTTTGGGGTCTTTCTGAGAAAGAACCCCCAGTCACCCAGAGCATTCTGGGAGAACTCCAGGCAGGAAGTGCTGCTTGTATGGGGCTTCGAGGGATGGGTAGAGGGAAAGGCAGCTTGGTGTCTGCAGGTGGTGGGAGTAGGAGAGCGATTAGAGGCAGAGGCTGTCCTGGCCACCTCAGAGGAGGATTCTGATGCCCAGGCTGGCCAGGCTCACCACCCCCCTCCTCCTCCCCAGGCTGGAAGTGAGGTGCCAGGATCTTTGCATACAGGTAGTGAGTTACTGGCATGTGGCTGTTTGCTCCACAGAGACTGGGGTTTACAAAGCAAATGACGAGAGGGACCAACCTGTGCAAATCTGATTTCTGGTCTTGGCTCTGACACCCTAGCCCTGTGGTCTTGAGCAGCTCTCTCCCCTCCTCTCCAGGCCTCAGTTTCTTCACCTATAATTGGGGGTTATAATGCCTTCTTAGGTAAAGATCACAAGAGATAACTCACACAAAACATCTTCCTTAAAGAGTTGAGACCAGATTTAACCTTTTTGAGGGTTTTCTCCTGAAACCCTCTGTCTGCAATTCCAGTTGGGGCTTCTCAGGCCTGTGGGAAAGGAAAAGAGGTTGAAGACACTTCCTTTTGGCCTTGCCTGTCAGAATAAACAAGTTCATTTAAGCAGTGATATCAGTTAGGTATTGAGTTAGTAATTTCTGTTAAATAAGAGAAATTGGATAGGAAGCAAGACAATGGAATCCCTCTGCCCAGGATGGGTCCCTATACGTCACTCTTTAGGGCCACAGGAAGACTAAGTCAGCTTTGCAGGCCCATCCCGCACACTTCCTTGGCTGAAAAGGCCTTCTAACCGCACAGGCCTGCTGAGGACCTGGGAGGCGAGGGCCACCAGACAGATAGTCCCTTCTGAAGAGCCCCAGCCACTAGCCTCAGGCCTCCTCACCCCCCTCCTGTGCACAGTGACCTGACACATTCTGGTAGGGAAAGGGCTGCCCACGACCATGCTTGTTTCTTTTTTCTTTTCTTTTTAAAAAATATATTTTATTGATTTTGTACAGAGAGGAAGGGAGAGAGATAGAGAGTTAGAAACATCGATGAGAGTCATCGATCGGCTGCCTCTTGCATACCCCCTACTGGGGATGTGCCCTCAACCAAGGTACATGCCCTTGACCGGAATCGAACCCGGGACCCTTCAGTCCCCAAGCCGACGCTCTATCCATTGAGCCAAACCGGTTTCGGCCATGCTTGTTTCTTAAAGGTAACTTGCCAGAAAGTCCAATACCATCTGGGTCCTTGTAAATCATCCTGCCCAGTTGTCTCTCAGACACTTCCATGATGGCTCCGGTTGCCCCTGTGTTGTGATGGGGGTGTCTGCACGGGTCATAGGAGCAGGGATGAGGGATGGCCCGTGCCTCTGCTCTGTGGCCATGGACACAGTTGCCCAGGACTCCTGTTTGCCTTTGAAAGGGGTGGGGGGAAGGCCTTAGTGCAGAATCCATGGGTCCGTGGGGTTGGCTCTGCCCCATTCCTCCTGGGATGGGGACTGGTCTGCCAGTCTCAGGGAGGGGCTGGGAGCACTCTGGTCTGGATGTGACCTTTGTGCCCACTGAGGGAGACGCTGAATTCCACTCTTCAGCCTGAGATGCGGTTCCCTGGCTCTGGCAGGAGGCCTGCTCGGCTGCGGGGTGAGGGTCCCACGCACTGGCTCCCTCTGACTCGAGCTCGCCCCAAGCTGATGGGGAGAGCCCTCTTCCCCATAACAGTCGCTCTCTCCCCGCAGGATGGCCGAGCCTCGATTTAACAACCCCTACTTCTGGCCCCCTCCTCCCACCATGCCCAGCCAGGTAAGAGGAGCGCCCCGCTGCGGCCACCCCCCCTCTTCAGCTCCGGCGGCGGGGCGTGGGGCCAGGGGCCAGGGGCCAGGGGCTTGCAGGCGGGCCGACGGCCCAGGGAAGGGGCCGATCGCCGGTCAAGTCCTTAAGTGCCTCTCCTATCCCGCAGCTGGACAACCTGGTCCTGATTAACAAGATCAAGGAGCAGCTGATGGCGGAGAAGATCCGGCCGCCGCACCTGCCGCCCACGTCGGCCTCGTCGCAGCAGCCGCTGCTCGTGCCGCCGGCGCCCGCCGAGAGCAGCCAGGCCGTCATGTCGCTGCCCAAGCTGCAGCAGGTGCCCGGGCTGCACCCGCAGTCCGTGCCGCAGCCCGACGTGGCGCTGCACGCGCGGCCCGCCACCAGCACGGTCTCAGGTACTGCGGGGGCGTGGCCGGGCCGGGGGCGTGGCCGGGCCGGGGACCTGTCTGATTGGGGGCAGGGCCGGGGACCTGCCTGGGTGGGGGCGGGGTTAGGGGCGTGGCCGGGCCGGGGACCTGTCTGATTGGGGGCAGGGCCGGGGACCTGCCTGGGTGGGGGCGGGGTTAGGGGCGTGGCAGGGCCGGGGACCTGTCTGATTGGGAGCAGGGCCGGGGACCTGCCTGGGTGGGGGCGGGGCCGGGGACCTGCCTGGTTGGAGGCGGGGCCGGGGACCTGTTTGGGGGGCAGGACCGGGGGCGGGGCCCTGCCTGGTTGGGGGCGGGACCAGGGGCGGGGAACTGCATGGGGGTGGGGGCAGGGCGAGGCTGGAGACCTGTCTGGGTGGGGGCGGGGCCAAGGGTGGGGCCAGGGGCGAGGACCTGCCTGGATGGGGCGTGGTCTATGGGCGGACCGGTGGGCGGGAGCTGTCTGGTTGGGGCGGGGCCAGGGGCGTGGCGAGGCGGCCCAGCTGGGTGAGGGCAGAATGGCTACAGCTACCAGATTTCCTCTGACCCTTTACTGGGAGGAGCTAGCCCACTAAATGGACCGGATGAGGGCCCACCAGGGGCTCAGGAGGGCAGCAAAGTCAGTTTCATGAATTTAGGAATCCAGAGAGAAACCCTGACCAGGCCTGGGGCAGGCTGGAGGGTGGTGGGGGTGGAGATTTCCTGGGAGGAGCGGACAGGCAGGGAAAGGTTGGCAGTTAACTAGGGAATGGAGCCGCCAGAGGGTACAGCATGTGCAAAGCAAGCATGCTAGGCGGCCGGGGTAGGACAGTCGGTGGGGAGCGCCAGAAGGTGATGGTGATGATGATCATACTGTGGCAGCTAATTCCAGTTGAGCACCGTTGTATGTTCACTCATGTCCGTTTTATCACTCCCAGCAGGCCTGGAGGTGGGTACTGTTAGTATTAGGCTGAATACTGGACTGTTTTTGACTTAAAAAATACAGCAGTTTTGTGCATTCACTTTAGTGTCTCCATTCGACAGATGAGGAAACGGAGGCCCAGTTTCACAGTCAGGAGGAGGAGGCAGAGGCAAGCAGGAGGTCCCAGGGCCCATGTGCTCATCCCTGTGCTTGTCTGCTTCTGCTGAGGCTAGAGAGGAGGGGGCAGCAGATTGTGAGGGGCCTGTGGGCCATCCTATGCTGTGGGAGCCTCAGGCAGTGGGGAGCCTTGGGGGGGTTTTAAGTAAGAGAGGAAACTGCTCAGACTTGGGTTAGAAAGCTGGGTCTGGCTTGGTGGGAGATAAGCATGGAGAGAGATGCAGGAGAGAGAGGATGGGGGGATCCTGGCAGGGCGGGGGGAGGGGGGTTGAGAGCAGAGGACCCATCTGAGTTATGTTGAGAGGAATAGACAGGGCTGGTTGCTAGATTAGATGCAGGGGTGAGGAGTGGGAAGAGGTGAGGGAGACCCCTAGGCACTGCTCGTGAGATGGAACCACAGGAGGAGGGGGAGGTTAGTCCTGAGCTCAATCATGGAGTGGGTGCCAGGGGGACACCCTGGTGCAGTGTCACCGCGTGGGGGGTGCCTGGCAGACGGGTTTTCTCTGGTGGCCACTGTGGCTGGGCTCACCCCTGCCACCAGCCAGGCACCCCTGCCCCTCTCCCCTGCTCCCTCCTCCTTTCCGAGACGCCCAAGAACTAGTGGGCCCCGTGAGCCTCCCCCAGGCCCCGGCCATACTCTGCACATTCTCCCGTTATTATGATTTTATTAAATCTATTTTTTCATTATCAAAGTAATATTAAAAAAGTAATATAAGCATATTAAGGGAAATTTGGAAAACAGAGAAACTAAGGGAAAAAAAATCACTCATAATCCCCTAGCTCCTAACCCAGCAGCTTAGAGAGCCTTTTGGTCTTTCTCCTTCCTTTTTCATCTTTTTGTTTGCTTTTCAGTGTGCATGTGTGTTTGCTGAGCTTGTGGTAGGGCTGTACCCATGATTCTGACTTGCTTTCCTACTTGCCATTCCATCATAAACTGTATGCACACCTAAACAGCTGATAGCTCAACGGATATTTCTTTCCAGATTTAACCCACTGGAATGAACAATTATTCAGAGTGTATACACTTTGGGGGGGACACCCTAGAATTTAGTGCATTTTTAATTATAAAGATAAACAATATAGAAAGTTTAGAAATTGAAGGAGAAAAAGTCTTAGTCCCATTATTGTTAGCATTTCATTGTTTTCTCTATAATTTTTTTCCTTTAATCACAGATGTAAAAAATGGAGGAATTCACCAGGTAAAAAACTCAAGTAATAAATAAGCCAACAGACCGAGTATGAAACTCTCCTTTTACCAATACATTCTTTCTCCCTGGAAAGTGCCACAATTTACACATTTAGTTTGGTGTGTCTCTTCTCACATGCATCCCTGTGCACTCACACACGTATGTTATCTCTGTATAATACATATGTGGTCTGGGTGTGTGTTCTTAAAATAGAGGGGTTCATACTGTCCGCACATTTCGGCCTTCTCTCTGCGTCACTGGGTGACATCTGTCTTTTTGTCATGGCTGCCCCGTCCTCCGTCATTTGGATGGACTCATCGCTACACAGTCCCCACTGAGGACAAGCAGCTCATGTCCAGTGTGTCCTACCACCGTTTTGGACGGAAGGTCCGTGTGGACAGCCTTTGTGTTCGTGTGCAAATACTCCCTTAGGGCGATTTCCAGAAGTGGAATTTCTTGGTCACAAGTTACGTACCTTTAACATTTTAAGGGCTGTTGCCATGCAGTCCTTCATTAAAGTGGATTCGTACACACTCCAGCTGCAGGTGTGACCAAACATGCTGTGCTGGTGCTGGCTAGTGAATCTCCCAGTGCACAGAAAGATTAAAAAAAAGCATAGTTTCACCACATCATGCCATTTTCATCCTTTTGTCTACTTAGTCTGTTATTGTAAATGTTTCTGGTCCCCTCGTTTTACTTTATTTTTATTTTTTTAAATATATTTTTATTGATTTCAGAGAGGAAGGGAGAGAGAGAGGGAAACATCAGTGGTGAGAGAGAATCATTGATTGGCTGCCTCCTGCCTCCTGCACACTCCTCCCTATGGGGGGATCAAACCCGGGCATGTGCCCTGGACCGGAATCGAACCAAGAACCCTTCAGTCTGCAGGCCAGCGCGCCATCAACTGAGCCAAACCAGCCAGGGCTCTGGTCCCTTCATTTTAAAAAGAGTAACTTTTATTATAGAAGTAAAATAAATAAATAAATAAATAAATAAATAAATTAAAAAGTTTGTCAAAAAGTCAGAAAGTATAGTTAAACCCAAAATTTTTTTAAAAATTACTTTTAATTCTACCATCCACATCACATTTTAGTATACTCCTCTTACTTTTCCTATGCATACATATGCCTTTAACATTTATTTGTTTGTTTGTTTATTTTGGCCCTGGCTGGGTAGCCCAGTTGGTGAGAGCGTTGTGGGTTTGATCCCCAGTCAAGGCACATACAACAATCAACCAATGAATGAATTAATCAGTGGAACGACAAATTGATCTCTCTCTCTCTCTCTCAAATCCATCAATAGAGTAAACATTTTTATACAAACATAACCTTTTCAATGGGCAGTAATGTTCAGCAGAGGAGACTGATCAGACCTCATCGATCCTTCCTTCCTTCCCTGATGTTACGTATCTCAGGTGCCTCTCATTTTTGCTATTATGTCGAACACAGTCAACATCTTTGTGCCTCCGTTTTTTCCTTTGGTTTGAATGAATCCCGAAGTGCCTTCTATCTAACTCCTTTTAATTCTTAGGGATCTGAGGCATCGTACACGTACACAGCGCATTTAGTTATATGGATATATATATGGATAATAACGTACCGAGGGAAGGGGAGGCTCAGAGAGCGGGTGACCTGCCGGTCTCACAGCGGGGTGGCCAGGCCCTCACCCCTGCCCCCACCCCGTGCCTCCGCAGGCCTCGGGCTCTCCTCCCGCACCCCGGCCGTGAGTACGTCCGAGTCCAGCGCGGGCACGGGCACCAGCACCCCGTCCACACCCACCACCACCAGCCAGAGCCGCCTCATCGCCTCGTCCCCCACCCTCATCTCAGGGATCACCAGCCCCCCCCTCCTGGACTCCATCAAGACAATCCAGGGCCACGGCCTGCTGGGCCCCCCCAAGTCCGAGCGAGGCCGCAAGAAGATCAAGGCGGAGAACCCAGGGGGCCCGCCCGTCCTGGTCGTCCCCTACCCCATCCTGGCCTCGGGCGACATCGGCAAGGAGGGCAAGACGTACAGGTGGGGGTCTCGGCGGGGGAGGGGGGTCGAGTGGGCTTGGGGCAGAGGCCCTGGCAGAGGGCCGTCCCTGGAGCACAGCCATGGGGGCTGGAGAGCGGGACCCCAGGGGCTAAGTTAAGGTGACCAGACGTCTATCTTTTGGCGGGACAGTCCCGATTTTCAACAATGTGTCCCTCGTCCCCGGGCGTTTTAAAAAAGTCCCGATTTTTCCCCCGATTTTCAACAATGTGTCCCGTATCCCAGGGCGTTTTAAAAACGTCCCGATTGGGACATTTTTAAAACGCCGCAGGACATGGGACACATTGTTGAAAATCGGGAAGTCTGGTCACCTTAGCCTAGTCCACTGCACCCACATCCTTTCAGGGGCCGTGAGTGGGGGACCCACCGCCAGGGTCATGGGAGTCTGTGTCCAGCTCCCTTCAGCCCCGAACATTAGAATCACCTGGGGTAATTTAAAAAAATGCCAAACCAGGCCTCACTTCCAACAGTTCTAATTTATTTTATTTTTTAAAAATATATTTTATTGATTTTTTACAGAGAGGAAGGGAGAGGGATAGAGAGAGTCAGAAACATCGATGAGAGAGAAACATCGACCAGCTGCCTCCTGAACCTCCCCCCTCCCCCCCACTGGGGATGTGCCCACAACCAAGGTATTATACATGCCCTTGACCGGAATCGAACCCGGGACCGTTCAGTCCACAGGCTGACGCTCTATCCACTGAGCCAAACCGGTTTCGGCTCAACAATTCAAATTGAATCGGTTAGAGGGTCACGGGGAGGACCAGAGGTCAGTCTTTCTCGGAAGCTCCCGCAGTGATGCTGAGGTGCAGCTGGTTGAGTGCCTCCCCCAGGACTGTGGGGTGTGGCTCTGGGCAAACCGTCCCGGATCCCCGGACCTCTCCTCCCTGGGAGGGTGTGAGCCCGCTGCCCAGGCTGCTGGGAGGGGCCTCAGGGGGGGGGGGACTTTCTCCCCCAGGTTGGAGGTTGTCCAGGCCGGAGCCTGCCTCCCACCTCTCCCAGGCGGGCCTGTGCCCCGGAGTCTCCTCACAGGAACGCTCTGCCCCGGGTGCATGGCCCCTGCGGTCCCTGATGGAAGTCTCAGCCGTCCGGGCAGGGGGCGCGGGCGCCTCCCCGAGTGCGAACCTGCCTCTCGCCCCGCAGATGTAAGGTGTGCCCACTGACCTTCTTCACCAAGTCCGAGATGCAGATCCACTCCAAGTCGCACACCGAGGCCAAGCCCCACAAGTGCCCGCACTGCTCCAAGTCCTTCGCCAACGCCTCCTACCTGGCCCAGCACCTGCGCATCCACCTGGGCGTCAAGCCCTACCACTGCTCCTACTGTGACAAGTCCTTCCGCCAGCTCTCCCACCTCCAGCAGCACACCCGGTGAGTGCCCGCGGGCGCTGTGCCCGAGCGCGGACCTGGTGCCAGGACCTCCTCCAGGTGCCCACTGCCTTCAGGGCCAAGACCAAGTCCCTTTGCGTGGTGTTCGAGGGAGGGCTTTATAACACGGCCTACGTGGACCTTGCTGGCATCAGCTCACACTCCCACTACACCCTCCCCTCCTTTTATTTTATTTTACATATATATATATTATTGAGTTTTTACAGAGAGGAAGGGAGAGGGATAGAGAGCTAGAAACATCGATGAGAGAGAGACATCGACCAGCCGCCTCCTGCACACCCACTTCCGAAGATGTATCCACAACCAAGGTACATGCCCTTCCTTAGACCGGAGTGGGACCTGGGACCCTTGAGTCCACAGGCCGATGCTCTATCCACTGAGCCAAACCGGTTTCGGCCACCTTCCCCTCCTTGACCCTGTTTCTCTGGCCCTCTCCTGTCCAGCTCAGTCCAGCTTCCTCCAGGAAGTCCTCCTGGGCCCCCCTGAGCTGGTTCCCCAGGCCCTGGGCCTCCCCATCCCAGCAGTGGGAGACTGTCTTGTACTCACCCGGCTGTTTGCCCCTCATCCCCGATACCTTGGGAGTTTCTGCAGGCCAGGGCTTGGTCTCCTCCATTTGCACACCCCCAGGGTGTGCCACAAGCATCCAAGCATTTGTGTACTATTTGTGAAATAACCAGAAGGAGCTTTGATAGGGCCCTTGAACAAGTAATGACAGTCTCTTCGATAAGCCAGATGTGATTCTAGGTGCTGGGAGTACGGCAGTGAGCAAACAGGCAGAAACTCCTGCCCTCCTGGGCGCACATCCTAGTCCAGGGTGTGAAAGGGGGATTCTGAGAGAAACGTGCTTTCAGGACGGAAATGTTTTTGCAGGGAAGGACAGACTTCCAAGGGACCGGCTCACCAAAGGAAAGGACCCTGGACATTTAAAGAAACACGCTCAGGGTTTTCGAGATGGCAGCTCCTCTTCCGGCCCTTTTCTCCAGGGTGGAGAGAGCGCCAACCGCTGTGTGTCTGCCAGCTTCGGCCTTGCGCCGTCCGTCCGGGATAAAATGGTTTCCTGCCCCAGAGTTGGTATCTCACAGAAAGCGCCAAGGTTTTCTCTGTTTTGGGGACGAATGCTAGACCGAGGACCTTATGTCTTCCTTGTTTGCGTCCTTATTTATCCGTTTCTCTCCGTTCCCGGGTGCCTGTCGGTGCAGCAGGCTTTCTCGGTCTGTTGCTCGGACGTGGGGTGGGATGTGTCGGCAGGAGGAAGAGACAGTGGCAGAGCGGCCACGGGACAAGGAGCCAGTCCCCTTTCCCCTTTCTCGCGCCTCCCTGCTGTAGTTCGGCCCCTAAGTTTGCTTCAGCAGTTTTCTGATTTCTATCACTGCTTTGATTTTTTTTTTTTTTTAAGGTTTGTCCAGTTTTATGTACAGAGAACTATATGTAATCAAGCCCCCGATGTTTGCATGGTTGTTAAAACTAGAGCATGTGACACTAAGGTTTGAGAGTTCACTTCTGTCAGGAGACTCTGAAGCCCCTGGGGCATAATTTTAATGTGTGTGTGTGTGTACGTGTGTGTGTGTAAGTGTGTGTGTGTGTGTGTGTAAGTGTGTGTATGTGTGTGTATGTGTGTAAGTGTATGTGTGTGTAAGTGTGTGTATGTGTGTAAGTGTGTGTATGTAAGTGTGTAAGCATATGTGCAAGCATGTGTATATGTGTATGTATGTGTAAGTGTGTATATGTGTAAGTGTGTATGTGTGTATGTGTGTGTAAGTGTGTATGTGTGTAAGTGTGTATATGTGCATGTAAGTGTGTGTAAGTGTGTGTAAGTATGTGTTTGCGTATACGTGTGTGTGTAAGTTTGTGTGTGTATGTGTGTGTAAGTGTGTGTGTGTAAGTTTGTGTGTGTGTATATGTGTGTAAGTGTGTGTGTGTAAGTGTGTGTATGTGTGTGTTTGTATGTGTGTAAGTGTGTGTGTGTGTGTGTGTGTGTAAGTTTGTGTGTGTGTAAGTGTGTGTGTGTGTGTGTGTGTGTGTGTGTGTGTGTATGTGTGTGTGTATGTGTGCGCGCGCGCATAAAGCTTCCTCATTCCTCATTCCTCATCTAAGACCGGGAACCCAGAACCAGCCGCGTCACCCGCCGGGTTGCCCTGGGACCTGGACCCGGAGGTAGCATCTTTTCGGAGAATCCCCACGTTGGTTGGTTCTCTGGGCCAGAGGACTGGCTTTTCCTGCCGCCTTAAAGGCGCAGCTCCCTGGGACCCCCGCGGGCCAGAGCCAGTCGGGGTCCTGGGGAGGCCACCTGTGAGGCCAGCCCTCGCTTCTTACTGTCAGCCTGGTCACACCCAGTTAAGTGACAGTTGTTCGTACATGTGACATTTTTGGCATGGTCGTGGTGACAAATTTGATTCACCCAATGAGGTCCTATTAGGAAGGAGACAGGCTCTCACGAAGCTGCTGCCCAGCCACAATGCTCTCAGGAAGAGAAGGTCTCGGAAACGGCATGTGGAATGCTGCCTGGTGCTTGTTCAGAGTGTTGGAGACAAGGCCAGTCACCTGGATGGTTTTCAGTAGAACTATTATTTTTAAATTTCCCTGACCAATCATTGGCGTATACCTATGTTAAATTTTTATAGTGTTTCCCCTCCAGAATTCTGAAGGGTTCATTGGAACAAGGCACTTTTTAAGGAATATTTTATTCTCATTTGTACAGATATGGCCTCCTAAAGTGAGGGTTAGAGAGAAATCAAAGCAAAAGAGGGTTTTCTCACATGCCCGCTGGGAAGTAACATTAACTAGAATTAAGTCACTTCCATCCAGTGCTGGGCTGGCTCCTGGTCTGCTGATCTCGGGTCGATAGTTCACTTTGCAAAGTCATTTGCTTCCGGATAAAGACTCGTGGACCCTGCTGGGCCCCGGGCAGTGTCCGGGTACGGGCATGGCGCCAGCTCGGAAGCCGGCCCCGCTGTCTGTTCCCTGAAGTATAAAGAGCCAGTGTGGCTGACGGTCCTCTCCTGAGGCCGTCGTCCCTTGATGCTTCTTCCAGGCTCAGACTGACCTGCAGTTTGAAGCAGAGGCCTTCCGGCAAGTGTGAGGGGTGATCTGACCGGGGGCGAGACTAAGTCACTCAGTCTGTTGGGTATAATAGTGAGCAACGTCAGAACAGGGGAGAATGGAGCTCTCCTTAAGGTGTAATCATGGTCCATTTTTTAGATTAAAAACACTGGCAGTAAGGCCATGGACCCATCTTCAGGGCCTTCTGATTTATCTCATAAAGCACATGTCATGATTGGCACTAATCTTTTTTTTTTTTAAATATATTTTATTGATTTTTTACAGAGAGGAAGGGAGAGGGATAGAGAGTTGGAAACATCGATGAGAGAAACATCAACCAGCTGCCTCCTGCACACCTCCTACTGGGGATGTGCCCACAACCAAGGTACATGCCCTTGACCGGAATCGAACCTGGGACCCCTAAGTCCCCAGACCGACGCTCTGTCCACTGAGCCAAACCAGTTTCGGCTGGCACTAATCTTCTTAAGACATCTCTCTGTGGATACTTATTGTGCAAATCTCTGTACGTGAGAAATTGTCGTTTTTTCCACCTTAAAAAACATAAATATATTATATATAATTATATAGTGAATCTCTCTCTCTCTCTCTCTCTCTCTCTCTCTCTATATATATATATATATATATATATATGCCTAAGCAACCATTCAACCAGCAGCAGTGATGCACACTGACTACCAGGAGGCAGATGCTCCACGCCCAGACATGGAAACATGGAACAGATTCATGGAAACATGAATCTCAGAGGGAAGAGAAGGGGAAGGGCAGGAAGAGATTAACCAAAGATCCTATATGCATACCAGAGGCTCGGTGCATGGATTCGTGCACCAGTGGGGTCCCTCGGCCTGGCCTGGGGGATCGGACCGAAACCAGCAGACTGACATCATCGAGGGATCCCGGATTGCGAGAGGGCGCAGGCCAGCTGAGACACCCCACCAGTGCACAAATCCGTGCACTGGGCCTCAGTATGTTAATAGTATATGTAATTATAGGGCATGTATAATTACATTCTGTGTGATTACACATTATCTATGGTTATATTACACTAGTATATGACATTACTATTATATTTATATATATTACATATAATTACAGATATTCATAAAGTTAACTCAGGGAGCTTGAGCTTCTCTTCATTTGCTTTGCCAATTTTCTTGTGCTAGGAACTCCACAGGCTAGCTCTCGCTCTAGTGTTCTGCTGATTAAAAATATATAGAATTACTCTAGCCGGTTTGGCTCAGTGGATAGAGCATCGGCCTGTGGACCAAAGGGTCCCAGGTTCAGTTCTGGTCAAGGGCACATGCCTTGGTTGCAGGCTTCTCCCCGGCCCAGGACCTTGGTTGGGCTCATGCAGGGGGCAACCAGTCGATTGTGTTTCTCTCACCGATATTTCTCTCTGTCTTTCCCTCTCTCTTCCACTCTCTCTAAAAATCAATGGAAAAATATCCTCAGGCGAGGACTAAACAAACACACAATATATATAATTTAAAAATACCCAATTACTCGGATCACCCCTCTTCATATAAAACGGGGGAGGAAACCTTTGGTGTCGCCCAGCAGGCTCCTGGGAACTGCCAGAGCCTTCGGGGGTCAAGGACACCGGCCATTTGGCTATTCTGGATTTGAGAAAGGCTGAAGCCCGGAGGTGGCAGAGCGGGGCCCCTCCACACCCTCCCCTCAGGCCCCCTCATCCCCGCCTGGCTGTGGGCGGGCACATGCTGCCCACAGGCTCCAACGGAAAATACGGCCCTCGACCTCCAAGTCACCGCCTCAGTCACCCCCTGTGAGACCTGCACCCCCCCTCGTTCTCGCAGCACGCAGCACCTCCCACGTGGGACTGGTGTTTTGCTGCCTGTTTGCACAAGGCGGTGGGTTTTGTCTGTTTTGCTCACACAGGTACCTGATGCAGTAACTGTTAAATGAATGAGTAATAATGCTCGCGTTTACTGCGTGCTCCCTTTGTGCCAGTACCCGAGGCTCAGCCCTTTTCATGTATTATCTGTCTTCATAAGGCCCAGTGAGGGAGGGACTGTATTTTATACCCATTTTGCAGATGAGAAAACCGAGGCTCAGTGATTTGCCCAAGGTTTCCCAGGATGAGAACCCAGGAATGAGGGGACAGAAGGGACTCACAGGAAGGTCACGGGGAGGAGAGGGGGAAGAGGGAGGGGGCTGAGCTTTAGGGCCACCCTGTCCTGCATTCTCTCAGTAGTTGGTAGCCATCATGGACACGTGCCTGACATGGGGAGGGCTCGGGAATGGATGTTGGGACCAATCAGAGGGAGGTGTCTCCTTTTTCTGAGGGAAAGAAGCTGTGAGTCTGTGCTCTTCTCAGTGGGTGGCCTGCAGGTGGGCTTTTTAGAAGATGGGGGGCGGGGGGGGGCGGGAGGACCAATGCAGTCAACGCAAGCCCTCCAGGATGAGCTGAGGTTGGGGCCAGGCCTCCGAGGGGGTGCCCCTGGAGGGTTGGGTTCGGCGGGGTCTTGGGGAGCAGGGAGGCGTCAGTCCTAGACCGGCAGTGGGAGGTCAGAGGAAGGAGAGGGGGTGGCCTCTGAAGACCCCAGCTCTTGCCAGGGGCTCACTCTGGGGAGAGTTTGTGTAGAGTTTGGGCATCTGGGAGGCTCGGGAGCCAGAGGCATGTGCGGGCCCGGGAAGGCTTGGGGGCTGGAGTGGCCCGGGGTGTCTGCCGGGACTCCCCCTCACTGGCTGCCCCTTGCAGAATCCACACAGGCGACAGACCCTACAAGTGCCCGCACCCTGGCTGCGAAAAGGCTTTCACTCAGCTCTCCAATCTCCAGGTGAGTGGCCCCTGCCTCCCGCCCAGCCGCGGCAGTTACCGGAAAAGGGAGCATCAGCAGGGGTGGGTGGGGCTGGGCGCGGCCTCTGGCCCCTGACTCCCCCCTGTGCCCCCGCAGTCTCACCAGCGCCAGCACAACAAGGACAAGCCCTACAAGTGTCCCAACTGCTACCGGGCCTACTCGGACTCCGCCTCCCTGCAGATCCACCTGTCCGCCCACGCCATCAAGCACGCCAAGGCCTACTGCTGCAGCATGTGCGGGCGGGCCTACACCTCCGTGAGTGCTGGGCCCGGGCCCTTCCTCCCCCTGGCCCCTGCTGCCTCCTCTCAGGCCCAGAGAGGGGCTCCTGTGAGTGGTGGAACCAGGGCTTCTGTCTCCCAGGCCCAGCTCCCAGCTCCCTGGTGGCCTGTGGGGTTCAGAGGCATGGCTCCCTCCAGGCCCCAGAATACTGCAGGCCGTGGTGCTACTGGTGGTGGGGGTGGGGGTCGGGGTGGTGGTGGTGGGCTTGGCACCCTGCTCTCCAGAGTCAGGGAGGGAGAACGGCCTTCTCCTCCTGGGGAAGCTGCAACCCCCATCATGGCCACAAGGTGGCAGAGTGATTGCCTAGAACCACCTCAGGTGTCAGGGAAGCTCTGAACTGCCAGAAGGGTCACTGCACCCAGCCCTCTGTTCCCTGGGTTTGAATTTCCCTAAATGAGGGCCTCTCAGAACTCAGAAGAGGGAGTCCAGGTGAGTCACTTGTATGTGTGCTTCTGGCTAATCAAATATTCTGGGTAACAGACCCCCGTGTCTACCTGTGAGACAGCTCTGAGCCTCAGTTTCCTCAGCTGCCAACGGAGGAGGGATAGTGCAGCACACACAGTGTTTCCTGAGCGCCTGTGCCAGCGCTTGGGACCCGGGGTGAACCAGACAGGAGTGGTCTGGGCCGCCAGGGAGGTTCGTGTCCGCCACTGGAGACACATTACGTACGTGACCACACAATAAACATGTCATGACAGGTGGTGGGGCTCGCTCCACGCAGGGTTCCTCAGCCTCGGCCCGAGTGGCGTGTGGGAGGTGCCTTCTGCTGGGCGGGGCTGTCCTATGCGTCGCCGGATGCTCAGCCACATACTTGGCCTCTGCCCACTAGCAACGCCCTCCCTGGCTGTGGCAACCCAGGATGCCTCCAGACTTGGACACATGTAAATGCTCCCCCAGGGCTGTGGCTGCTCGCTAGCTGACCCATTGCCCAGGAGCCCTCCAGTGGCCACTGGTGGGAACTGCAGCCTCTTCTGCCTCTCCCGCCAGCTGTTGGTTTTACGCTCTGAATCTCATCCCTGCCCACAGGAGACCTACCTGATGAAGCACATGTCCAAACACACGGTGGTGGAGCACCTGGTGAGCCATCACTCGCCCCAGAGGACGGAGTCCCCCGGCATCCCGGTGCGAATCTCCCTCATCTGAGCCCGCCCCAGGCGCCGCCCTGCCCTCGGCAGACACGGACGGACCCAGGCAGCACCAGGCCCGACGCCCTCCAGGGCCCTCCAGGGACAGCCGAGCCCTCCACGACCTTCCTGACCTTCCAGAGAGCCGGGCCCAGAAGCCCTGCCCGGTCCAGCTCCGGGGGTGGCCAGGCCAACGGCACGATACTGGACTGTTTGGTGGCATCCAAAGACGATCTCAGAGCACTTTGAACCTCTCTCTGTTGGGTTTTCTTTTCCCCTCCACCCTTCACTTGCTTCACCGTGTTTTTTTTTTTTTTTTTTTTTTTTTTTTTTTTTAAGTTTGTTTTGGAAATAGCAAAACGAAACAAAAGATATTTATTGGCCAAGAAGTTGGTGCTGCTAAGACCGAGAAATTAAGAGTTGGACAGATGGACACAGAGAAGCAGAGGGCAGTGTGGGACCTCCTCTGGCCATGGCCTTAGGTCTGGAGGGAAGGCTCAGGCCTGGGTTTCTGGACTGCAACGGGGGGAGAAGCTGGTGGGAGGGGCAGGAGGCGGCTGGAGGGAGCCACTCACCCTGGGTGCCCCGCTCGGACCTCGAGCTGCACCCTGAGCATCACTGACCAGAGGGAAGCGGCAGCTACCAGAGCTGCCCAGACTTCAGGAGGCAACACGGGAGGGGCCGGGGATCCGAAGGACCAGCGGGTGCAGTGTTGGGCTGGGCCGGGTGCCAGCCCAGGGAAAATGGGGTGGGGTGGGCTAGGTAAGACCTGGACCCCCCCCCATGCCCTTAAGACTACCCCAGTCTACCTCGGTGCTGGCCAGGAAACCTATTGGCTACCTCTCCCACCATCCCAGTCTGTGGGCAGGGGTGTGGGGAGGGCGTGGGTCTGGGGCTAGGACCCCCCTCCATCATTTCCTCCGGATGGGACATTACCCAGGGAGGGGTTACTTGTCTTCCCTGCCACGGAGGGGGAACCCCCAGCCCAGGCCCTCAGCCCCTCGGTAGGGAAGGGATCCTCCGGAAGGAGGGTCCCGGGAGCTGCCCCTGCCCTCAGCCCCCACAGACACACCCCGATCTGAAAGCCATGCGTGTCCGTGTATATAGGAACCGTGTACAGAGACGCCCCACTCCAGCCCCCCGGGGGGAAAAAAAAAAAACTAGACAGAAACTCATCTATATATTCTGTATCTGGAGTTCCATTTTGAATATTAACCGTGTTATTTTTATACACTTTTTAAGCCTTAACTCACCATTGATTTACCAGTTTGACGTCTCCTGGGGTTTCTGTTCCCCGCGGGGTCCCCTGCCCCGCCGCCACCCGCCCCTCCGTCTGACTTGCGTCGTCTGATACTCAGTATTGTAGCTTCTGTCCGCATGTTACTCCCCTGTAAATACGCTGTTATACATACTGTTGATGCCCTCGGCTTTTTCTATGGGACCTCCAGGCCGCCTTCTTTAGAACTAGTTACCTTATTAAAAAAGAGAAAACCGTCTGCTGGCCTCTCCATCTGCATCTGGGTGGCAGGGAGGCGAGGGCCGGCGCCCCAGAAGAGGTTTGCGTGACATTTAAGAAGAGGGGTGGGGAGGGAAACCAATCCGATGTGGGGAGGAAACCCTGAAGGAGGCGAGAAGACACGAAGGAACGCTAGGCCCCCTGCTGTCTGTATCGCTCTGTTGTGAAGAACAAACATACCTGCGCCCGGGTGGCGGCGGTGTGGGGCATGCTCTGTGCGAGGGCGGGGCTGGGGGGCACCGTTCCACTGCTCCTCTCCCCTCCCCGCACCCCCCCAGACTCGGAGGGAAATGGTGATTACCTCACAACCCCCTATTGGTATGCCCAGATTTCAAGATCCCCAAGGACCACCAGGGAGCTGAGTCCGATGCAAAAGCAAGAGAGCCTTTATTCAAACTCGAGCCTGGTCTCCCTGCCTCTACCGACGCAGCGGCAGGATGCAGAGGGCCCCGAGCTCTGCAAGTGTGGTCCTTTTATAGAGTTTAGGGTTGGTGGTGGGGTGATGCTCGGACCACTGAGTTGGCTGGTTCTGATTGGTGGGGTGAGGCCAGGGTCCGGTTACGCTGGGTTACTTCCCTCTGTATTTCTATTGGCTGATTTAAGGGCGGGTTGGGTAATGGATACATGTTACACAAGATGGAAGACACAGTACAAAATGGAGTCAGTCCTGCTCTGCCCTTGAAAGAAGGCCTACGTGCTGGGGAGGGGCCATGAGACCGTATCTCAAGGCCTGTCCTGGTGTCAGCACTGATAACTATAGTCCACGGCCTCCCTGGGAGCATGCTCCAACATTCTCACTCTCTAACACTCTGAAGGGGGCAGCAAGCCATGAGAAGTATTTTGCCGAGGGTCCTGCTGCCATAGAGGGACGTCAATTCAGCCCAGGTGTGTCCAGTTCTGAAGCCTTCTCAGACGCCCAGAGTCCGCCCGGGAGGGTCCCTGAAGCTCTCCCAGGGGGGGCAGCTGTGTCTGGTGACCCCACCCCTCTCTGGGGGACCCTCAGGGGTGCCCACATTTGCGGGAGCTGTTCCCAGCGATTGAGGGGATGGAGAGGTCCCCTTTCACATAAGTTGGACCATGGAGGACAGTGTTCTGATTTCCCAGGAGGGAAATGTAGGAGTGAATCCCTCCAAAGTGTATCAAGGTAGGCCCTGGGCCAGGCATGACGGGAGAGACAGGGTGACTTGGACATGAGTCGCCACGGAGCTCACGCCTCTGAGCCGTCATAGTCCTTGTGAGGGTGAGCCGTGGCTGCGGGGCGTGGAGCGCCCAGCGCAGTGAGGATTTATGGGCTTTCACAGCACGCGACAGCCAGCGGCAGGCTCAGGGCGGCCGCAGGGCTCAGTGAAGTGTCTCTCCTCTTGGCCTTGTTCCCAGTCAGCTTCACCCTTGGACTCCAGCCTCACCGCCCTCGGGCTCCCAGCAGTCAAGCCTCTGTCTCTCCCAGAAGTCCCAGCAGAAGTCTCCCTGGGTGAGGTGTGGCCCTTGAGCCAGTCACATGACCGGGATGTCTATAGTTGGTGTCTCAGGCCAAGAGCCCCTGCTCTAAGCACCAGCAGGGGGTGACTCTGCGCCTGCAGCACCTCCCCCGGGGGAAGCCAGCGTGCGTGTGTGTGTGTGTGTGTGTGTGTGTGTGATCATCAGAGGGGGAAATGGACGAGAACATGTGTTAAGTAAGCTCACAGGACTCATCTTCTCTGAAATGGACCTCCCACAGCCCGCTCTGTGGTGAATCGGTGGGCTCTGGCCATATCTGGTCACATGGCCCCATCCCATCCACAGCTGATTGGCCAGGGGCGGCCACCTGCCTCAGCGACTTGATTCCTAGACCAGTGGTCCCAGTGGTGGGTACAGCTAAGTCCTCCCGTGATGTCATGATAGGTTCTTTTGACTTTAAGTGAAAGGACGGATATCGAGACCAATTTCCCCGCAGACTGATGTCAGCAAGAGTTCAGTGCTTACTGTGTCTCGCCAGCGCGGTAAGGAGAAGATGCTGAAGGAAACAGCACTCCAGGACCTGCTGTCCTGGCTCCCGGGAGTGGGTTGCGCTCTGCTGCCCCGACCCGCGGGGCAACAACGAGGGCACGTGGAAACCACCTAAGAGAATGAAGCAAACAAGGAACGCGAAGAACGGAGGCAAGACAAAGTTCTGATCAAGCCTCGAAATTTTTATTCAAGAACATCGGTATATAAGCGCTCAGGAGGGGAGGGGAGGGGCAGGAGAAGGAGTTGTCGCAAGGTGATTGGCTGGGTGCTGGGTACTCGTACTTAGCTGGTTGGTTGTTCTAAGGTGAGAGGGTTATAGTCTTCCGCGCGCTCAGGCTTTTTTGGCTCTCCAGGAAGTGGAACTGACCAGGAAGTGAGACCAGACTTTTTCCTTATGGCTCCCGGCACTCTGCATTCAGTGGGAACCTGGACATCAGCCGTGGAGGGGTATCCGTGGTGGTGCAAATCCCTGCAGACTGGGCTTTCTTTTTCCTCCAAGAGCTGGTTGCCCAGCACACCACTGGCTTCACCCACAGCCTGAGGCCGCCCGAGCTCGGCACCTAGGAACCCGTGAGTGTGCCATCGCGGTCTCTCTTACAGAGGAAGTGGCTGCTGGGTGAGTTGTTTGCACTATGAACCTGTCGGAGAAGGGGCAGGCAAGGAGAGGGAGACGGCAAGTTATGTTTTCTGGAGCATACAGCCCCTGCAGAGGGCGACTGGCACCCCCACTCTACGTGTGAGAAAGCTGAGACCAGGCAAAGGTAAGGAACTCGAGCATGAACATCCGGTTCCCATCCGGGCCTTCCCTGCTCATGCTCAGGTTCCTAGTGCCCCAGGGTCCTCCCTTGGTGAATGTTCTAAGGCCGTGGTGGGCAAACTGTGGCTCTTTGGCCCCTTGAGTGTGGCTCTTCCACAAAATATCACGGCCTGGGTGAGTCTATTTTGAAGAAGTAGTGTTAGAAGAAGTCTAAGTTTAAAAAATTGGGCTCGCAAAAGAAATTTCAGTCGTACTGTTGATATTTGGCTCTGTTGACTGATGAGTTTGCCGACCACTGTCTAGGGTAAGACGGGGATCATGGTTGTGAATATTTCTCTCTTTTCCTCGTCCAGCATAGCTAGAGAGCAGTCTGGTATCTGAGTAGGGGCAGCTAGGGATTGAGAAAATTAAGTAAAAAGACAGACACAGAGATGGAAGGAAAAAGCTGGGGCCAGGTGGGACCACTGTCCTCTGATGGAGAGACAGGGATCCAGAGCCCATACAGCGTGTTTATTTTATTCAGCAAAACCCAGGAAGTTTTACTAAAGGCCAAGACAAAGGAGGGGATGTGCATTCTTGGGTGGGCCTGAGTGAAGTCCTATTCATTCCTGGTGCTTGGCTGGATTTAAATAACAAAACCCACCCGCTGGCACCTGGGCTGAAGGGTCAGGCTGACAACACTCCTGCCTCTCGGCAAAGTGTGTTTCCAGGACATGGCTTTGCCAACGCCACTGGATTCAGCTGCCAATAATTAAAGAAATGCTCACGTGCCTTCCCAGGCGCTCTCTACAATGGTCCCAGAGGAAGAGGTGTACCAGATCATAGTCTAACCTGTTCCCCAGGATATCCGTCCTGGGGAACAGGTTCTTCTGTGTTTTACTTGCCTGCTTTAGGTACGAGGTGCCAGGGAAGTGAGAACTGCTTTTGAGAGGGGAGGTATCTTTTATTCCACATCATCAATATCTGGAACTGGGCTTATACAAATTACTAAATTATTAATGCCATCAGGATTGGTTTATGGCTGGACTTGCTCTTCTCCCTGGGAGCAGTGGAGGCTGCTAAAACTGCAAGTTTATGTAAACACTACCTAATGGATTCCGGAGACCTGGAGTGAAATCCACCCTCTCAGGCCTGTGTTCCCAACTGTCCGACAAAAGCCAGGGGCTTCCCGTGGTTCCCTCTCCTGTGGCCTTGGCTCTGGGACCCCCTTTCCCGGAGGACCTGTGACTTCCTGCTCCCATTCAGAGCCTGTGTTTTCCTCAGTTAAAGATGCAGAGTCTGGACAGCAGCCATGGATGAGGAAACATCTCTCCTAGGCACTGTGACCAAACAGACCCGTGAGCCCCAGAACAAGGAAATGTCGTTTTTGTAAACATGGACTCTCCAGGAAAATGCCACGAAGACTCATTTTATTATGATACCAACAAGAGAACTCCCATCATGCAGAAAAGCATTATAAACGTTTATCTGAGCCCTGGCCAGTATGGCTCAGCTGGTTGGGCGTTCTCCCAGGAGGTTGCTGTGCACCAGGATGGTGCTGGTCCAATTCCTGGTCAGGGCACAGGCCCGAGTTGCAGGCTCCATCCCTGGTAGAGAGTGAGCAGGAGGCAGGCAGCTGATCAGTATTGTGCCATGGATGTTTCTTTCTCTCTCTCCCCCTTCCTCTCTCTCTAAAAATCAATAAACTTCTTAAAAACCATCCCAATAAACACATTAAAAAAAAAAAAGATTTGCCCTAGCCCGTTTGGCTCAGTGGCTAGAACATCTGCCCATGGACTGAAGGGTCCCGGGTTTGATTCCGGTCAAGGGCATGTACCTCGGTTGCAGGCTCAATTCCCTGAGTGTATCTGGGAGGCAACCAGTCAATGTGTCTCTCTCATATCGATGTTTCTCTCTGTCTTTCCCATCCCTTCCACTCTCTAAAAATCAATGGGAAAAATAGCCTCGGCTGAGGATTAAAAATAAATAAACAAACAAGTAAGTAAATAAATTGTCCAGCCATTGTGGCAGAGGTTGGGCGTCAGCCTATGAACCAGGAGGTCACAGTTCGATTCCCAATCAGGGCACATGCCCAGGCTGCAGGCTCCATCCCCAGCGTGGGGCTTGCCGGTGGCAGCCGATCAATGATTCTCATTGATGTTTCATCTCTCTTTTCCTCCCCCTTCCTTTCTGAAATAAAAAATAATGATAAATTAGAAATGAATTCCTATTAAAAAAAATTAAAGAGTTTGAGCCAAATTTTGCCTGGAAACAAAATCTCAAAGACTGAGAAAATGCTCTGAAAAAAAAAAGCAGTTTTGCAGTTCTTTGGGTGCACTTAAAACTAAAGGAGAAAAAGCGTAAGGAGGATACATAAAATCACTGGTGATAGATTAGGGAGGCGGGAGAAAGCAGGGCGGGCAAATCTCTAGGAATGGATAAAAAGCAAAGTGGAGAAACACATAGCTTTACATTGGCAGTACAGGACTACTAGTAATTAACAGCACCCAGAGACGGAATTGGGGAAACGGGGTAACAATGAGGGGCTCTGGTGATCTCAGCTCGCCGGCCTGTTTCCGGGCACCAGCAGAGCTCAGCCTGTGCTGTGTCCTCGAGGGAAAAGCGGTCATTCTGCCCTTCACAGGGAAGTTACCTTAATGTAGAAGTGCAGCGGACAGGACTCACTTGAGGTAGAGGTTGACCTTTGCTAAGGATGCTTTGGTCCTGGGACGTGACTCCTACCATGGCCTGCCCAGTTAGGAATTTAGGCTCAGACCACCCTGTGTGGTTGCTGAGCTTGTCAGGCCTGTCACGTGGCCCCCTGAACTTGTTAGGTTATGTCATAGCCCCTTTTTCATTCACAATAATATTACTTAAATATGTACAAACTATGCTTGAGGGGAGGTGAAAGGTCAAAGCCAAGGAGCTGGATGCCACAGGCATCCAGTTTCCTCATTTAAAAAAAGGGGGAGTTTGCTGACGGGACGGGGGGCGTGTGCTAAAACATCTCTTCTGGGGGCATAGGCTAAATTCAGTAAGGTCGGAGGTGAAAGGTCTCAGTTCCCTGCAGAAAGTGAGGGAAAGGAGGCTTGCAAGTGAGAAGCTCCCTTCTGGAGTTGTTGCTGTTTTTTTTTTTTTTTTTTTTTTTTTTTTTTTTTTGTGTGTGTGTGTGTGTGTGTGTGTGTATTTTGTTTGTTTTTGCCTTTTTGTAATGCAATTTTGCCCAATTGAAGCCTTGATTGCCAAGGCAGGCAGGTCCACGGGAGCAGCTGTCACCAATAAGCCAGGGCCAGCCTCAGGAGGAAGGAGCCAGGCTGCACCCCCACTGAGCTCCTGTGTCTTAGAGATCTTGGGCCTCTTGTTTTTCCTCTTCCGGAGCTTTCCATCCCCGTTCTCACATGCTGAATTCACCAACAAAGTAAGTCCACGAAACCCTAGAACTCCACTTGGTCCCCATAAAAGGGAACCCGGGTCTGCCCTCTCTCGACCTGAGCCCTGGCTGTGTGGCTCCCGGTGAGCTGTGTCAATTCCAGGCCCTGGAAATCATTTTCTCCCGTGTCCTGACGGCTTCTGCTGAAGAACCACATGCACAGGCCCAACCATAGCATTGTTTGCCCATCGGCTGGGACCAGCGCAAAACACTCTGGAGGGCCAGGGCGCCTCCCAACTCCTTCCAGGCACCTGCAGGAGGCAGTAGGGCTGCTTCCAGCCCCTCTCGCCCTGTCCTCCAAGCGCCATGCTGCTTCCAGCCGGGACCCCAATGGCCACAGGGACCCCGATGGCCGCAGGGACCCCGATGGCTGCAGGGACCCCCATGGCTGCAGGATCCCCTCTTGCTGTCCATCTCCCCAGGGTCTCGGTGTCCGCAGGAGAGCGAGGCCCGGCCCGGCGCCTAGTCGCGCACCAGCGTGTACTCCTTGGGCGCCCAGAGCAGGCGCGGGCGGCGGATCTCGGCGCGCCGGCCGATGTCGGGGCACCAGCAGAACTCGGGCGACAGCACCTTGGCGGGCTTGTGCAGCCAGAAGTACTTGTTGAGGTGGCTCTCGTCGTGCCAGCGCGCCTCCAGGCCGCGCGCGCGGTCCTGCTGCTGGCCCCGCGCGCAGTGCGCCGTCAGCCGGCGCAGCGCCCCCACGCGGCCGCCGAACAGCGCGGCGTGGTAGTAGAAGTCGCCCTCGCCGGGCGCCAGCGCGGCGGCCGAGCGCGGGTCGCTCTCGTAGGGCAGCAGCCTCCGCGGCCAGCGGTAGCGCCAGGCGTGCAGCTGCGCCACCGAGTCGGCCAGCGTCTCGGGCCCGAAGGCGCCGCTGAAGAACTGGTCCACGTCCATGCAGAACACGAAGTGCGCCTCGCGGCCCAGCCGGCCGCCCAGCGCCGCGTGCAGCGTGCGCATGCGCTCCATCGACACGTCCTGCCAGCGCCGCTGGCGCGACACCCGCTCCACGCGCAGCCGGCGGCCCGGGCCCAGCGGCAGGCGCGGCACGGCGGCCGGCCGCTCCGTGAACACGTAGTAGACCACGCGCTGGCCCACCATGAAGTGCTGCTCGGCCGTCTCCAGGAAGCGCGCCAGGTACTTCTCCAGGTACCTGCGGGGGTGGGGGAAGGGTGGGGGTGGGCTGGGGGTGTCATCCGGACAAGGCGCGCCCTGCACAGCCGCGACCTTGACCTTGACCTTGACTCTCCTCCTTATCTCCTCGGCCTTTGTCCTCTCCCCTCCCCTAAGGGGACCAGGCGTCCTGCTTTTGGCGGGACAGTCCCGATTTTTATTTATTTTTTTATTTTAAAAAATATGTATTGTATTGATTTTCCACAGAGAGGAAGGGAGAGGGATAGAGAGCTAGAAACGTCGATGAGAGAGAAACATCGACCAGCTGCCTCCTGCACACCCCCCACCAGGGATGTGTCCGCAACCAAGGTACGTGCCCTTGACCGGAATCGAACCCGGGACCCTTCAGTCCGCAGACCGTTGCTCTATCCACTGAGCCCAAACCGGTTTTGGCAGCAATTTGTCCCACGGCGCTTTAAAATTGTCCCGATTTTAAAGCGCCGTGGGACGAGGGACAAATTGTTAAAAATCGGGACCATCCCGCCAAAAGCTGGACGTCTGGTCACCTTTCTCCCCTCCCCTCCCCCCCGCCCCCCCCCCACACACACTTGAGCCTTCTTGCTCCTCCGCATTCAGGTCCTTGTTAACTTGCAACCTCAGTCCCTGGAGCTCCTTCCGGAACGCTCCCATCCCCAAATCGTGCAAGCCATTAGAGATGATTGCAAATTGTTTGCCACGGGTGCCCTCAGGGCCGCGTCTTCCTTCCCTGGAACAGGGGCCCCCCTGACCGCGGTACCAAGGAGGTGGCGCTGCATTGGCTTTCAAAGGGCTGATGGTGCTAGCCTTTATTTCTTTAGAGCGCTGGGCCTTGGTTTAGTAAGTTCCAAGTTTGGATGTTACGTGAGGAAGCCCACACCAGCCGCCCAGAGAGGCTGTGTGCAGAGAGGTGGCCCACGAGGCTTTAGCCATCGGGTACCCCAGGAGAGACCCAGACGCTGGGGAACAGTGGCATGCTTCCTGTGGAGCCCTGTTGGAATTCCTGGCCCACGAAAGTCATGAGCTATAATCCTAGCCTATATAATAAAAGGCTGATATGCAAATCGACTGAATAGAGGAATGACAGGACGCTATGATGTGCACTGACCACCAGGGGGCAGACGCTCAACGTAGGGGAGTGCCACTCAGCCAGAAGCCAGTGCATGGCTGGCCAGAGCAGCGGTGGTGGGAGCCTCTCCTGCCTCTGCAGCAGCGATAAGGATGTCCTTCTGCCGGCTTAGCCATCAGTCAGATATGCCCCAAGGGCTCCCGGACTGCGAGAGCATGCAGGCTGGGCTGAGAGACCCCTTCTCCCTTATCCCGAGTGCAGGAATTTTGTGTACTGGGCCTCTAGTGATAAATCATTGTCTTAACTCCCTAAGTTTGTGGTAATTCCTTACTAGAACATTTGTAACATTGAAGACTTTGTATTGAAAGATTTTGGGGTCCCAGGGTTCTGAAACAATAGCAATAATGCCTAATAATTTTGAACATTTATCACGTGGCAGACAGTGTTCTAAGTGGAGCATCTAATCCTCACCATTTATTGTTATTGCTATTTTTGAGGCAAGAAAACTGAGCTACAAAGAGCTTTGGTGCCCAGTGCACGCATGCACACAGGCGGTAAGTTGCAGCGCTATGATCTGAACCAGCTTGGCATTCGGGACCGAGCTTTTACCTGGCCTCGCTCTATTCCCGGGAAGTCCGCGAGGACCTGGACTCAGAGACCTTAGAAACCTCCGCCTCCCAGGGTGTTAGACTCACAAAACCTTGGAATTCAGGCCCTCAAGGCCCTGGAATTTCTGGGCCCCGAGATTCTGCCCCCTACGGCTGGTGCAAGAACGCCCTACTAGATACTTCGTATCCGGAATAGAAGTGGGAGCACAAGGTTCTGCCCGCCTGGCCGATGGGTCAGCCCTTAGTCCTGTTTGCCCTCTAACTCCCAGGCACCGGCTTGGCTTCCTCTCACCAAGAGTACTTGGTAATAGAATTCCTTCCCCACATTCTCTTCCTGGATGCTGAACTCCCATCGCCTTCCCGGAGCAGTCTGTTGCATTATGACAGATGCTTCCTCTAACTGCTCTGAACTCTACCTCCAGGTACCTTACTTAGGGTCACGTCCAGCTGTCCCCTTTGCATCTGCAAAGTGGGCACCCAGCTTGGACAGTTGCCGTCCATAATGGGGGTGTCAGTGCCCCTGGGATTTCTCCCCCTCCTCTCCGTAGCTCAGACTCCTCTCCCGCAGCGATGCTGTCCTCCACCCTCCTCAGTCACCTAGCCCCATGTCTGCTCCCTGGGCCTGCTCACCATCAGTCTGTCCTACTCTGTGATCCCCCATCCTTCCAGCCCTCTTCCTGTGATCCCCTCCCCAGCAGCCTACCCCACTGGGTGCTCAGGTTTGAACCCCTTTCTCAGCACCCCGTCCTCTCTTCACTTCCCTCTCTACCCAGCTCAACATTCACCCCCTTGCAGAAACCCTCAGCTCCCCTGCCCCTTCCCCTCCATCAGGCTTGATGGGCAAGCCTCCACCCTCCCCTTATCGGGTGCTGCCCTCTGAGCCACTGACCTCCAGGGGGCACTCACTGCAGCCACGCTGGTTCCTCTATCCACGCACCTGCTCTCCCCTCGTCTCACCATCATTATTTTCTCACCACAAATCCAGTGTCTCCAAACGGACGGCAACCCTGTGGCAGGTTCTTGGCAGGACACGGTGCGGAGCCCCTGGCTGCCCGTGCTGGGTGGGCTGCACAGGGCTAGTGCCCAGGAGGGACAGGCAGGGGACGAATGGGATGGGGGTGCTGTCTTTGCCTTCTGCGTCACCTTGGGATCCTCTGGCACAGCGAACAGGGAGCCCCACTACTCATATCACATGCACACACACCCCTGCCCCCTGATTGACAGCCCTGCTCCCCTCCCCAGGTATTACCTGCCGACAGCGAAGACCGTCAGCCCAATGGTGAGGTTCTGCTGTATAGCCTCTTGTTGGGCCACATCTGGATCAAAGGTGCCATCCCAGATAATGGGGGCCCCCCAGGAGGTACAGGTCAGGACTTCAGGTCGGGCCCTGGCCAGAGCAAGGGTAGGAAAGGGGGTCCTTCTGTCCACCCACTCGGTGATGCTCACTGCCATCTCCCCATGCTGGGCCCGAGGGACCTCCCTGGCCGGGACCAACCCAAACAGGTCCCGAGGTGTGCAGCCCGCAGGGCCACTGGGTGGAGAGCCTGGCTCTGCCCGCGTAGGAGGGCAGGGACGCTGGAGCATATACGGGGGGCACATGGGAGATCTCAGGGTGGGGGGGACTGTGTCTCCTTACCACAGGTGTAGGAGCCCTGTGAAGTTGTCCCTCAGCAGGGGCTCTCTGGCCAAATGGCAGGTGCCCATGGGGATGAAGGTTTCCAGGTACCTGTTGGCGGGGCAGCAGTGAGGGGCTGCCAGCCTGCTCAGCAATCTGTGGCTCTGCTCCGTACGGGAGGGAGAGCCCACAGGACGCTTGAGGGGCTGGTCTGGTCACACCCTCCCACCCTCAAGGGGATGCTGGGAGTCCCTCCTGTCCCGGAGGGCCCGCCTGGAGCGCCAGGAAGGGAGGTGTACCTGAGTGCAGGGAGCCCGCACAGGAGCAGCCCGGAGAAGCTGACTGCAAGCAGGATCAGCCACCAGAAGATCCTCTTCCAGGCCCTGGGGGCGGGGAGGGCAGCGGCAGCACACGATTTACATTTCTGTTTATGTTTATGTACACACAGATCCCTACACACACACACACACACACACACACACACACACACATCCCTACCCATCCCCACAGATCCCTCCCTACACCTACACACACACACACTCACACATCCCTACACACACACACACACACACACACACATTCCTACACGCACACATACACATGCATCCCTACACATCCCCCCCATACACACAGATCCCTCCCTACACACACCTACACACATCCCTACACACACACACACACACACACACACATCCCTACACACACACACACATCCCTACACACACACACACACACACACACACACACATCCCTACACACACACACACACACACACACACACACACACATCCCTACACACACACACACACACGCATCCCTACACATCCCCCCATACACACAGATCCCTCCCTACACCTACACACACACACACACACACACTCACACATCCCTACACACATACACACACACACATTCCTACACGCACACATACACACACACATGCATCCCTACACATCCCCCCCATACACACAGATCCCTCCCTACACACACACACACACACACACACACACCCCTACACACACACACACACACACACCCCTACACACACACACACACACACACATCCCTACACACACACACACACACACACACACACATCCCTACACACACACACACACACACATCCCTACACACACACACACGCATCCCTACACATCCCCCCATACACACAGATCCCTCCCTACACCTACACACACACACACACACACTCACACATCCCTACACACATACACACACACACATTCCTACACGCACACATACACACACACATGCATCCCTACACATCCCCCCATACACACAGATCCCTCCCTACACACACACACACACACACACACACACACACACATATCCCTACACACACACACACACACACTCACACATCCCTACACACATACACACACACACACACACACGCACACACGTATGAGAAATCATTGTGCAACTTAACGTTTCATTTTATTACTGTCAGTGTTGTTATGAATACGAGTATATTGTCTTCACGTGCACATTCAGAGGTCCACGGGGATATGCAGTGCAAGGTCCTTCCCGTCCCCAGACACCCAGCTCCTCCGCGGGGAGGCAGCCAGCGCCGCCAGCTTCCTGTGTCTTTCCAGAAAGAGTCTGCGCAGGCAGGCCGGTGGTGAATGTCCTAGCAGATTCCCCTCCCCTCCCCTCCCCTCCTTCCCCCCCTTTCTTTTTCTTTGTTACCCTGTAATGATTTTCATCACCTCTTTCTTTCTTTCTCCCCACAGATGGCAGCACAGCAGCTAATACTGCACCTTGCATCTTCCACTGACATAATGTCTTTGAGGTTATTCCATCTCAGTGCTTAGATCGCTTCCTTACCCTTCGTTCCGTTGATTGGCAATAGCATAATGTATCTGGCCAGGCCCCTTCTAATGAGCATTTAGATGTACACTGAGTGGCCAGATTATCGTGATCTCTGAACGCATCACAGTCTGGCCACTCAGTGCATGTGCTTTGCTTTTACCAGTAGTGCTGGGGGCACAGCCTCGGGTAGGTCTGGGGATGCTAGCATTAGGTGTGGGGTGTTTCATCCGGGAAGGGGCTGGGACTGAGCTGGGACGGGAGAGCGTCTGGGAGGGGAAGCAGGGAAGTTGTGACGGGTGGCTGGGAGGTGAGAGCTAACTCTCGGGGAAGAGTTGCCCGGCTGCGTGGAGGGCAGCTGTGGCCAGGGACCAGGTGTCTATCGTGGCTCCAGTCACGGGGCTGGTTCCTCCAGCAGAACTCAGCAGCCCCGTTCCTGGCTCGGAGGAGGTAGACTCAGATTTGTCGGTGGCTGGTTGTTTTCCAGAAAGGAGGCCAAGAGTTGAGAATCTTAATAAGCTCCTTCTGGGGGTCTTAGCCAGCTCTCTGCATCTCTGATGTGTGCCCGTGTCTCTGGAGAGGCTGGGTCCCCATGGTGAGCAGCATAGACATTGGGACCAGACCCTTGGGTTCAAATCCCAGCTCCACCGCTTATTAGCTGCCTGAGCGCGGGCGAGGCTGTGAACGTCTGCACTGTGGTCTCCTCATCGGCCACATGTGGCTAAGAAGACCGGCCTCAGAGGGCTGCCATGCTCACTGAGTTGTCACATGCTGAGTGAAGAGAACAAGGCTCACACATACCAGTGGCTCCGTAAGCTGTAGCTACTATTATATTCCTGAATAGAGTTAACAGTGATGTTGGTATCCCCCTCTGCCCCTGCTGTTCCTCCAGCCCTCACAGCGACCCTGCCTGCTCACCCCCCGTCAGGACCAGTCCAGCGGCAGCCGCCGTGCCCCCAGTCATTCCCCACACAGCCCCCGGAACACCTCACAAAACACCAGCCCGCCTTCCCGGTTTCCACATCACACGGCCAGGCAAATCCTCAAAGAGGAAATGCATTTAGTAGTCAAACGTGGAAGAGTTTTCACCCTCACTAGTAATCAAAGATATTTTAAATGAGCTCATTTGATAGGCAAATTAGCACAAGTAACCACCTTCTTCTAATTTGCCTATCAAATGAGCTCATTTAAAAAAGAAAGAAGCCACGGAAAACGGTTTGGCTCAGTGGATAGAGCGTGGGCCTGCGGACTGAAGGGTCCCAGGTTCGATTCCAGTCAAGGGCATGTATGTTGATTGCGGGCACATCCCTAGTGGGGGGTGTGCAGGGGGCAGCTGGTCGATGATTCTCTCTCATCGATGTTTCTGACTCTCTATCCCTCTCTCTTCCTCTCTGTAAAAAATCAATAAACTATATCTTTAAAAAAGGAAGGAAGGAAGGAAGGAAGGAAGGAAGGAAGGAAGGAAGGAAGGAAGGAAGGAAGGAAGGAAGGAAGGAAGAAAAAAAAGAAAGAAGCCTGGTGCCATGGCTCAGTGGTTGAGCATCAACCTGTGAACCAGGAGGTCATGGTTCGATTCCCAGTCAGGGCATGTGCCCGGGTTGTAGGCTCAATCCCCAGTGTGGGGCGTGCAGGAGGCAGCCGATCAATGATTCTATCTCATCTCTGATGTTTCTCTTTCTCCCTCTCCTTTCCTCTCTGAAATAAAAAAAAAAAAGTATTTTTAAAAGTTGAAAGTAAGAAAACTAGCCACGCTGCGAGAACACAGGGAGATGGGCTCTCACACGTGCTGGCAGGTGTAGAACACTGCAGCGCCCTTGGAAAGCTCCTTAGCTCGGGGGATTGACGCGTTCCGTCTTCATCCCTGCCAGCCCAGCAACCTCAGCTTCTGGGATTCTGTTCAAAGGAGATAATCTTCAGCGTGGAGTAAGTCTGGACCCAAGAGTCTGCCTCCTAGTTGGCGGTTTCTGTTCACTCATGCATTCCACCTATATGTATGGGCGCACGCTGTGCTGGGTCAGGGCTTCAGAGGGCCTGTCTTCAGGGAGAGGAGTCAGGAATGTGTGAGCCCACGGGGAGGGGGAAAAGGTCAGGTGACAGCAGCAAGCAGACGAATGGGACACAGCACAGTGAAGGCTGTAATTAATGTACGGTGCTAGGAGGGCAGCCTGGAGAGCCGCACCGAAGCCTTGACAGGTGGGAAGTCAGGGCAGCCTCCTGGAGGAGGTGACCTCTAAGCCAGCAGCCGAGCCATAGAAGGCATCCAAGAAAAGAAGAAAGGGCGGGAAGGGAGGCCCATGGAAAGGAGCCAACAGTGTGCAAAAGTGACCAAATGGTTTTCTTAAGAGACCACAGCCTCCAGCGGACCTCCCTCCTGGAAGTGGGGTGCAGGCCGAATCATGGCCTGGGGCCTCTGGTGGACTGACCTGGGCATCACTGGCAGTGACAGAGGACTCCTGGGGGCACTGGTGCCGCCTGGTCTCTCCACGTGGATATCTCACAAGCCTCTCAAACTTATACAACCAGAAAGGGACTCTCGATTTCCCTCAGAAACCTGCTCCCCACTCAGGTCTCCTCCATCCTGGGACATGGACATCATGATATATATCCCATTTCTCAAACAGAAGACCTAGGAACCCCCCTTTATTCCTCCCATCTGCCATGCCCCACATGCAGTCACCAACAAGCCCTGTGGACTCTCCCACAAACACACTCCATCCATGGGCCTTCACCCCCTCTCATTCCATTCCAGGCCGCTGTATGGATAACCTCATAGCACCCCTTTCAGCCTTCCTGCTTCTACTCTTGCCCCCCAACAACCCGTTCTCCAGAATGGATTTCCAAAAACATGTTAGAACAGGTCCCTTCCCTCCTCCCGGCCTCCCAATGGCTCCTTCTGCTCTTAGAACAAGCCCTGCCCCCTGGGGTCTGTGTGCAGAGCTCCATGCCCCTGGCTCCTGGGACCTCTCTGGTGCTCCCTACTGTGCTCTGGCCCAGCCTCCTCGTGCACCTCGGCATGGTTTGCCCTTGTCATGTGGAATCCAGTCAGGATTCTGCGTGCGCCCTCTCTCACGCCTTGTCTTTTCTCTACCAGTGACTCCGAAGCCCGCGTCCAGCCCAGCTCTCCCTGCATGCTGGACTCAGGCACCGTGTGTCCCCCGGACTGCGGTGTCCACCTGGGGGTCCCACAGACACCTCCAGCTCAGGGCTTCCCAAGCTGCATTTGCATTCCCTGATCTCTCCTTCCTCCTGCATTCTCCGTGACCGGTCCCATTACCCAAGCGGACCCTTCCCGCCACCCCTCCCCTCATAGCCATTCAGTCACCCAGTTCCATTGCATTTGCCTCCCTCACAGAGCTCTAAGCTCCCTCTTCTCCACCTCCCTGAACTCTTTTTAAAAATATATATATTTTATTGATTTTGTACAGAGAGGAAGGGAGAGAGATAGAGAGTTAGAAACATCGATGAGAGAGTCATCAATCAGCTGCCTCTTGCACACACCCCACCGGGGATATGCCCGCAACCAAGGCACATGCCCTTGACTGGAATCGAACCTGGGACCCATCAGTCCCCAAGCCGACGCTCCATCCATTGAGCCAAACCGGTTCCGGCACCACCTCCCTGAACTCTTACCCCTCATTGTTTCTCATCAGAGAGGTTCCTGCAACTCTCCTCACTGGCCTCCTAGCCTCCATCCTGTGATTCCTAGACTTGCTTTGACTGTGGGTCCTCCCACCTCTCTATCTTCACCCAGATTGCCCTTCTCCCATCAACCACCTCCAAGCTCCCAATCATTCCTCAATACCTAGCTTCCTCCTGGGGACACCTTCCTACAGCTTCCCCTCAACCCCCGCCCTCCCAAGAGCTCCTGTGCAAACCCCTATGCTAGCATCTGCCACGAGTTTCCTGTCTTATTTACTTTGGATCCGAGAGCCTGCCTTAGAGTTGGCGGTATTAATAGTTATTTGTTCCGTAAATAAATGGGGTAATCAGTGGGTTCCTTGCCTTCATTCTCCTTCCTAAACGGATGGCTACTCCTTTGCTTAAAACACCGTTTTATTTAGGGTCTGCACTCTTGCTGAGTAATCCCGGGAGCTTACTGAGGCAGCAGCCGTGCTGACAGTTCTATGTCCCTGTCTCCTGGGGGTCTGACCACGATGGCTTCAGGAAGATACTGTAATTACCTCCATCTTGTAAACAGGGGACTGTGGCTCAGGATTAAATCATTTGCTCAGGCTCACACAGCTAGTGAGTGTTGGAGCTGAGGTTTGAACTTAGTTCTGTCTGACTCCCAAGCCAGAGCTTGGAATTTGGGGCTGTTTCTGACCTGGCCCCAGCTCAGCCCCGAGGCTCGTCTTCCAGAAGTCCCTGTTACCATCGCCCATAGGCTTGGCTCCTCCCAAAGCTCCTCAGAGTCCCAAGTCAGTGTCTCTCCTACAAAAAGCCTCTCTCCCTCCTCTCTCTCTCCAGCTTCACGCTGACTCCCGGAGGGCTGGCTGCTCCAGGGCCTTTCCGGCTCCCGGAAGCAGGCTGCCCAGGTGCACGGCAGGAGGTACCTCCATGGTGCAGGGCAGGGAAAGGCTGGCTGGGACCTTTGCTCCCACTGCTGCCCCGATGCTTATCTTGGGCACTGGGCCTCCACCGGGGCAGCCAGGCAGAGCGCCCCAGGTGGGCTCAGGCTGTCAGGGCTGGGAGGGTGCTGAGACCCAGGCCTGCGGCAGGCACCTGCCGGCTCCTGCGCCTTTCTATGCCCCAGCCTGGGAGCCCTGGTCCATATGGCTGCTGCTTGGCCTATTCTTTCACATTCCCTTCTCAGATATTTTCAAAAGGACCCCCTTCATCCCTCTTCTACCTGCAGGAGATGGTCCCTCAAGCCCACCTCATGTCCTGGTCCCTGCACTTCCTTTCAAGCGGGATTAAGGACCATTAATTAGTTCCTAAGCAGGTGCAAGCTTCCAATCCTGGACAGTCCCTGCCGGGGAACACGGAGACCTCGTTACAGTCGGGGTGCAGCCCCAGGCCTGCCTCCTCTGGTTCACCAAGGGGCTCAGAGTCAGGGAAGCAAGAGGACTTACCCAGCTCCACACAGGCTACGAGATCTTCCAGATCACCCCCTGCCATCTCTATCTACCCCATCAGTCACCTTTTCCCAGGACCGTCTTGGTGCCCCCTAGCGTCCCCCACCCTGGGGGTGCCCACTCACCCGAGTCCTCCTTTGGGAGCCATGTTGAGAAGCTGGTGGGACGGCCTTCGAAGAACTCCCTCAGTTCAGAGCTGGGGAAGCAGTTTCCGGCCTCTGGAACCACACCCCGAGGCAGGCGGATGAGGCCTGCCCGCCCCGGTGTGGGCTTAGGAGTGGCACCTGCTGGAGGAGGCTGGCCCCAGGCCGCAGAGGAGGCTGGGAACTCCCTTGGAAAAGGGTGGGCCGGAGTAAGGCCGCTCTGATTGGCCAGAGCCTCCGAGCTACTTTTCCTCTCTCAGCGCCTTGCGCCCCTTCCAGCATCTTCTGGTCTGACCAGGGAAAGGCTTCAGCCAGAGCCCAGGGTATTGGTCTCCCGCCTGTGATATCAGAGAGTTTACCCCAGGAGTCCTTTGCCTCCTCCGGGAAATGAGGTAGAGTCACCCGGGACCATGGAGGAGTCACACCAGAGAGTGGATTTTCTGGAATCCACTGGAAATTTCTGGAGAGTTTGCACTGGGCAGTGTTTTCTGAAATGCAGGTTGTGTTCCATCCGAGAGCCATAAGATCATTTTCATGGATTGTGACCAAGACTTAAAAACTATGAACAGGAAGAGAATGGAAAACACCCGAAGGCACTGTACATAAAGGTAGGCATTGTTTTTTGTGAAATTTTGGTTTCAATTATATATTTAAGTATGTATATGAACATTGGAAACCCTTTTTAAAACGGTGGACCATAATCAGAGGTTTGAAGAATGTTTGTGTGAAGTGTGAACAGGAACAAAAATAGAGGTAAGGATGCACCCTTCAAACGCCGAGAGGGTGGGGCCTTGCACCCAAAGGAAAGAAACAGCGCCGGTATTTACCTAAGTCAGTCCCCTCCAATTCACCAGGCCCCTTTTCCGTCTCCCGCTGTGCACACCAAAACAAACTCAGGTGTGGCCTGCTTTCACTATCTTCCAGGAAGGGGAATGTCGAAGTGCAGAGCAGACTTGCACGGAGCCAACCAGGCCCCAGCGTACCTGCCCACTTCTTGCAGCGGGAGGGGCAGGGCAGGGGGTGTCCCCAGGTGCCCTCTCCACTAGGTGCCCTTCCCAAGGTCCTTTATGCTCTCCCTCATTGCCCTCAGCTAGGGCTGTGCCACCCCTGGTCCTGCTAGCCATTCCCTATCTCCTGGAACAGCCACACCTCCCAGTCCTGGCTCCGCCCCCTGGAGGTCAATCCTGTGCCAGAGCAGAACGCAAGGCAAATATTGAGATCAAGTGAGCCATAGAAGTTTTTAGTTCCCTTTGGACACAGAAAAGCCATGTTTACACTATAGTTTTTTATTATTTTTTAAAAATATATTTTTTTATTGATTTCAGAGAGAAAGGGAGAGGGAGAGATAGAAACATCAACGATGAAAAGGAATCACTGACTGGCTGTCTCCTGCACGCCCCCTACTGGGGATGGAGCCTGAAACCCCAGTATGTGCCCTGACTGGGAATCAATCCATGTCCTTCTGCTTCATGGGTCGAAGCTCACCCACTGAGCCATACTGGCCAGACTACTATAGCCTTTTAAGTGTACAATAGCATTATGTCTAAAATAATGCACATACCTTAGTTTTCAAATACATTATTGCTAAAAATGCTAGCCATCCGTCTGAGCCTTCGGCAAGTTGTGACCTTTGTGCTGGTGGATGGTCTTGCCTCAATGTTGATGGTTGCTGACTCATCAGGGTGGTGGTTGCTGAGGTTGGGGTGACCGGGGCAATATCTTAACATAAGACGGTAAAGTTTATCCAGCCAACTCTTCCCTTCACCAACCATTTCTCTGTAGCATGTGATGCCGTTGGTAGCATTTACCACAGAACTCCTTTCAGAACTGGGGATCTCAGATCCTCTCAACCCCTACTGCTGCTGTGTCAGTCAGTTCATGGGGTACTTTCGTTCCAACAGTCTTCACAGCACCTTCCTCAGCAGCAAAGAGACTCAGAGACCAAATGCTGTTGGAAAAACGTTTGCTCAAGACAAGGTTGCCAGAGCCCTTTAATTTGTAAAATAAATAAAAATAAATAAAAAACAGCATTTGTGACCTGCAGTAAAGCTCAAAAATGTTAAGATAATCCTGTAATGTTTTTCCTCCTCTTCCAGGTAGTACATAACTTTTTATTTTCTAAAAATATATTTTTATTGATTTCAGAGAGGAAGGGAGAGGGAGAGAGACATCAATGATGAGAATCAGGGATTGGCTGCCTTCTGCATGCCCCCTACTGAGGATCAAACCCGAAACCCGGGCATGTGCCCTTGACTGGAATGGGACCTGGGACTCTTCAGTCCACAGGTCAATATTCTACCCACTGAGCCAAACCGGCTAGGACAGTATATGTATTTTAAAAGTTGGTTTCAGAGAGCGAGAGCAACATCCATAGTTGTCCCATTTAGTTTTACATTCATTGGTTGCTGTTTGTATGGGCCCTGATGGGGATGGAACCCATTAGTGCATCGGTATCAGGACGATGCTCTAACCACTGAAATACCCGGCCAGGGCAGGGGTAGCTACATTTTAACAGGCTTCCCAGAGAGGTGCTATCAAGATGAGGGTATTGGCTCTGTGTGGGCTTGATCTTCCAGGGCCCCACCCTTAGGCTCTCTGATTCAGTAGGTTGGGCCCTCGGCCTAATCCTATGTTTTAAAAAGTGTAAAAACTGCCTGAAGGAAAAACCTAGAGGAGGGTCGGGAACAGGCCAGCTGCCCTCCTCCCTTCCCCTGGGATAGGTCAGTGAGATGTGAGCTCCATGCAAGCAGGCACAGCAGTGTCCTGCTCGCCTCCCAGGCCTCATTGCCAGCACAAGGCCTGGCTCGCAGAGGCCCAGGCCAACACAGCCCGCCCCCCACCCCTCAGCCTGCGGGCCCTGCACGCCCACTTTCACGCGCCTGCCTTTGGGTGAGCTGCTGGGCCTGGAATGAGCTTTCTCTTTCATTTGAGGCTTAAGTGTTACCTCCTGAGGGACAATGGCTTCCTACTAATTTGCTATTCCAGCATCCAAAAAATGCTCAAAACGTGCCGAGTGAACCAGAGCCTTCCAAGGGCTCTTCTGAGCAGCAATAACTAAAGGTGTTGGCTAAGGGACGAAAGTCAGGGTTCTGCCTAAGGTGTCCCAGATATCCCCATTGGGCCGTCTCCCCAATGGGAACGGTAGGTACGGGGTTCAGAGCTGAACGGGCTCTGGATCATCCACTTCAAGGGGCACCCACGTGAGGAGACGTAGAACCTGCCACCCCTGTGAGGGCTGGGCTGAGGGTGCCCTCCATGGCCCAGCCCAGCTGAGTGCGGAGGAGATGCCGTCCCAACCAGGGACCCGCCCCGCTCCGAGGGGGGCACTGGCGCCACTCAGGACCTATCCCTGTAGGGACAGGCGTCTCCAGGAAAGAAAGGCATAAAGAACGGGTTTTACAGATTTATTTTTAAAAAACAAAAACAAATGGTTAAAAAAGTCCTTCATTTCCAACCCTGCCAGGGGTGTGAGTGGGGAACAGAACAAGCTGAGGAGGGCAGCACCTCTTCCGGGGAGAGGCCCCTCTGCCCCCGGGGAGCTACCCACCACAGGGCAAGTCAGAGGCAGGCCTCGCCCTTCCCGCCCTGCCTCCTCCGCAGCAGCTCTCCTTGCTGCTAGCGGGTCCGCAAGGCCAAGTGGGAGCGCGAGGCCAGGGGCTGCCTTCTCCTCACCAGTGGTCACTCCAGCGCTTCTCTCCCTCAGAGGTTGGCTGGGCCTCACCACTGGGCTCCAGGGCGGCGGGCAGGAGGCTCAGCCTGAGCCAGCCCGCCGCCCGCACTGTGGCCGGCAGCTCCTTTAATGCTGACAGCAGGGCAGTCGGGGGACTTCACAGTGTGGGGAAGGGACTTCAGAGGCATCATGGCCAGCCTGGAGAGGAGCATCTAACTGAGTCGCGTTCTGATCTTGCCTCTCTGCCCTTCGTTTCTATTCCCCATCCTGAGGCTGAGTGGAGTCCAGGACAAAGCACTAAGTGGCTGTTTGCTACAAAACACCTGGAGATGCCAGAGGGCGGCTCTTGGCCGTCTGTCAGTCCAGGTTCCCACACAGTCATACAGTCACACACACAGCGTTTAAGGCGTCTGTGCCAGCAGGCATGGCAAACTGGGCCCAGCTTCTCTCTCTCCACCTGCAGAGGGTGAAGGGGGAAAACACCTGGCTGCTTCAGAAACAAGCTGAAGGGGGAGAAGCTGGCGTCAGGGAGAGTTAGCCAGGCCTGGAGAAGGAAGTGGGAGGAAGGCAGGAAGGGCTTTCGAGGCCTCTATCCAGGCCTGACGGCTGCCCTTGGAAGTAACCCAACTCAGGTTGGGAGCCCTGACCATAAACCCCCTGGAAAATGGGGGACAGGGAGGGGAAGAGAGCGGGGCTAGAGTGTTGGGACTTTGGAGGAAGCCAGTGCTATCAGTATTTACAAGCATAAAGCCCCATCTTCTGCGCCACCTACCTCTCTGCCCCTCCCACAGAAAGAAAGGCCCCTGAGAGCCACTAGGAGGTGCCAACACCTCCCTACCAGCCATGCCCCACAGGGAGAGCCCCTGCCCTCCGACTGGCCCCACGTCTGGGCCCCTCAGGAATGTCTGTCTGGCTCTGCTCAGCGGGGTGGAGGCGTCCTGGGCCAGAACCGTGGCTGCCCTGGCCAGCCCTACGAGTCCTTGAGCATGTTGATGCGGGCGTAGATCTTCAGGGCAGGCCCCAGCTTGATGTTCATAGCACTCATCAGATGGTCCTCCTTGAGCAGCAGCAGGGCCTGCCCGTCGATTTCTTGGGCACGGAATTCCTCTGCTATCTCCTGGCAGCCTGACGGGGACACCACCAAAGACTGTCAGTCAGAGCCCCCAGTATTTACTCTGGCAGTCCCTGCACTGCACACAGGTTTCATTTAGTCCTCACAACCACATCCTATTTTATAGCCTGAAAGGCTAAGTGATTTGCCTAAGGCAGCCGGATTCCAGGATGGCCCGGAAACCCCGCCTCCTTAGTCTCCACGTAGTTGTTCAGAACCGCCCTCAGTGGACTGGTGGCCTGTGGGAGTGATGGCACGTCGTTTCTGAGGCTAAATCACAGAGAGCGCAGCAGAATCCGCCTTGCTCTTTTGGATAATTTAGAGTTAGCTAGTTACCGTGTTGTGAGGACACTCAAGCAATCCCCTGGAGGCCACATGGAGAGGAACGGAAGCCTCCATGCCATGTGAGTGAGGCTCCGAGAAGCGAATTCTCTAGTCCTAAACCTCAGACATCTGCAGCTCTGGCTGCCACCTTCACCAAGACCTTATAAGTCCAGAACTGCCAGCTGAGCCACTCCATGTTCCTGACCCACAGAAACCTTTAGATAATTACTCTTTTCAGCCACCACGTTTTGGGGTAACCTGTTTCACAAGAAAAATAATGCAGGTTTTGGTACTCAGCAGAGGGTGTGGCCTCGAGGGCACTGTGGGTGGGAGCTGGGAGTGCTGAGAGGAGTGCGAGTGAATGGCTAGGGCGCTTTCACAAGGCTGGATGCTGATGGCCTTTGAGAAACTCCTGGGCGAGGCTTACAGGAAAGTGAGCAGCAAACTGAGTGGAAGAAACGGATCCTTGTTATGAATCAGAAAATGCAGCCACGTATAAGTTTAATATCCCTAATGAACTGAGCGGGCCAGCCAACATTTTTAGGCAGAATTTTGAAGGTGTTGCCTGGCTGCTGCTGCTATATATATATATATATATATATATATATATATATATATATATTTTTTTTATTGATATAATTGATTGGTTGCCTCCTGCGTGCCCCACAGTGGGGATCGATCCTGCATGTGCCCTGACCAGGAATTGAATCGAGACTCCAAGTCACTGGTTGACACCAAACCACTGAGCCACACCGGCCAGGCTGCCCGGCTTCTTATTGCTGCTTAAACCAAAGGAGAGGAGAGAGAGAAGGTAAAGGAAAACTGCGATAAAGGAGCCAGGATTTGCTGGTTTTGAAAATCTCTAGCCTCTCTATATGGCAAATGATGCTAAAATTAAGAAATGGTTTCTAGGCAAAGATCAAATACAAGGCATGGTCAAGAAAAGATGGTCTACGGATGAAACTGAGGCTGTGACTTAAATCTTTTAAGACCTCGGAAAGATCTAAGATGCTGCCTGGAGCACAATTCAATAAAGAACTCTTGGAGGATGTGCCTCACGGATCCTCTCCACCCAACAGCAGGCTCCTATGGCATCCACTGTCCCTCAGCTTCCCAAGCCGGCGGAGAGGAGGTTCCTCTGGAAGACCTTCGGGAGCATGGCTTTTGTCTTATGAAGGGGGCCCCCAACAAGGTAATGGGGAGCCCACAAATATTTAAGAGAGAGTGTGCTCACTCAACCTGAAAGGGTCAGCGGTAATAAACCTGGAAGGCAGCAGGAAACAGGCTGAGAAAACTCAGACCAGCTTTCCTAGGAGAGGAAGAACGCCTCAGAGTAGAACCAGGAGTTGGAAGCACTCCAGGCTGAGTCCTAGTGAAGGAAAGGCCAACAAGTGCCCCGCGAGATTTAGGAACTGCTGCGGCTCCATTTCCCCCTTTCTGAATGGCAGGCCTACAGTGGTTATCCTACACCTGTCCCACCCACCGTGCTGTGCATTTGTGGAGGGAAACGGATAACCTCTCTCTAGCTGTCAGGGCTTTAAACTGAGAGGAACTGTTTATTTGAAGAGTAGTCTCATTCGTGCCGGGTCCTGAGTAAGATGATGAAATCCTGGATTTCAAATTGCTACTGCCATGGAATGAGCCTCAGGAGGACTCGGTAGGGGTGAGAGTGTTTCTCCGGGAGGGAGGATATGAGTCACAGGGGACTGTAAGCACCTCCAAAGAGCTCCCGATAATCCTTGCTTCCCTTTCACGCCCTCATGAGTCCTCTCACAAGATGAACAGGGTTTCCTGATGCCCAGGAAGGTGCTGTGAAACTGACAGTACTGTGTGTGCCATCTGAGCCCGGATCCTAAAGGGCACAGTGGCTTCCAACTCGCTCTCCTGGAACAATGCCTGTGGCAAATCCTGGCTGCCATGTCACGAGAAGACTCGGCATGAGTGCTCCGAAGAGGCCCATGTGGAGAAACGGCCTCTTGCCAACAGCCAGACCCTAGTTGAGAATCGTGAGTGAGGCTCCAATTGAGCCTTCAGATGACCTTAGCCTTGACCTGTCGACATCTTAATCAAAATCTCAAAGGGACCCTGCGGCAGAACTGCCCACAGTAACTGTGTGATAACACACTGGGCTACCTGGCAGAGCCGGTTCTGACTCAGAGGTCTGTGCCCCTGACAACTACCCCCGACTCCAGGCTCTGAGTGTCAGGCCTGTGGCTGCCGTCAGTGCCTGACCTGGTCACTAGCTGGGGGCACAGCAGAAAAGCTTTGGTGCCCCAAACGGTGTGCGGTTTGTCTTTCAGGGCTCATTTCTGGATTCTGCCCAGAACCACTTGAGCTCCTAGCTTCTGTGGCGTCCCCTTAGCTGCTAAGTCCTGCACATTCATGTCTTCATGCCTCAAGCTGCTGCCTCATGCATCACTTCACTGCCCACTGTCATTCCGTTTAAATTTTTTGAACGGCACGTCTACAGCAGTTATCCCATACCTGCTCCTGACATTCTGACAGAGTTCCCACACTCCCACCTGTCGCTCCTCCCACCTGCACAGGAGATACAGGGCTCATTACATTAGCCTCTCTGTGTTTCACACACAAATATATTCACAAGTAAACGTAGCCAGTAAATATATCCAATGGCTTTAAGATGTTTGTGTTCTGTACTAGAATGCAAGCTCTCGCTAGGAGACCTCATCACCATCACCTTTGCACCCAGCTCCTGAGCCTGAGTCCTTAACTGAGGGGCCTACCTTTTCCCTCCCTCTCATCTCGCCTCCCGTGCAGGCGCGGGGCCTCCGAGCCTCACCTGGCAGCGAGCGGATGAACTCGTAGACGTCTTCTACGTTCCACTTGGTGGGCTCGCTGGGCAGGAAGTGGTGTCCCATGCCCACCAGGTCCCGCATGTGCATGTCGGGGAGCTCCAGGTCGCGCTGGCCTTGCCGCCGGCGGGAGGTGGACGAGCTGGCTGAGATGGGTGACAGGGGCTCTTCGTAGCTTGAGTTATCTGAGCAACGGCTAGAGTCTTCCTGGCTGTGTGTTAGCTGCAATGCAGCAGTAACAGAAAGGGGGACGGCGCCTGTTGGCTGGAGAGAGAGAGGATGGGGGATAAACCATCTCTAGTGCAGTGATGGGCAAAGGCAGCTAAGTTTCCCTCCTCTACCTGGTCTCCTGCTATCTAGCTTTGAGTTCCAGAAGGCACTCTGTGCTGTCCCTCTCTGACCCTAGAGTCAGTACTGGAGTATGTGCCACACTTGAGACCATGAAGGTAAACTGGGAGGGGCGATGTTGGGGCAAGGTCACTGAAAACCCATGGTGCCCATGGATCTACATCAAGCATGTTAAACTCGCGGCCCACAACAAGTATTTTTGTGGCCCAGCCAATGTAACGGTATGTAAAACACGTTTTAATAAAAATTTCATAATTTTTACAATATCCTATTACACATCATTATTAATGAACTACAACGTTCACTAATGATTGATTACTATAATCGTGTTGCGTTCATTCCCCTTACACACCCTACGTGCAGGCACACCATTTCTCTCCACTAACACTAGCAGAGGATATTTTAGCAGCCATTGCCATGTCATTAGCTTTGTACTGAGTTGTTTGATGTGAGCAACAGAGTTTTGCTTTTGAAGAATAAGAAAAATAGTTTTATTTGCCTTATGCTAATTTGTGCAGTTAGTGTCTGGTAAGTTAATGTTCAAGAAAAAAATATTCATTTTATTAAAATGTCCTATTATTTACTGTTAACAATTACTCATTTATTTTATCCCTTTGTGTTCAGCATGTCTCTACTGAAATAAACAATTTTCTATGAAAACTGAAGCTTATGTTGTTTTGCGGCCCACAGAGACTTACATCTTTTTTGGCCCCCGTTAGCCTTTGAGTTTGACATGCTTGACCTACACGCAGGGACACAGGGAAGGCTTGAGCTGACAGAGCGTGTTGATGCAGGGCTGTCCCAGGTAGTGGTGAAAGGGGAGTTGGTGGGGACTGAGGACAGGGCTTCGGGCTCGGCAAGGCAAGCCCTCTCACCTGCTTCTTGGTATCCTTGGTAAGTGTTGGCAGACTGGCTTTGCTGGCCCGACGGCGGTTGTGGGTTGTGGCTCCTGCCTTCTGCAGCTTGCTCCGGTCCGAGTGGAAAAGCCCCACTCGTTTGGTGCATCCCACATTGTACCTGCCCGAGTCAGGAACACAGGAGTCAGCAGTCATAGGGTGCACAGCCTCGGGCAGAAGAGCAGCCAAGCTATGTGGCAAACCCATGTTCATTTATTCACTCATTCCAATCCCAAATCTGTCACTTGACACAGACTGGATCATGGTGCTAACTCATTGCTGAGGCTTTCTCTGCAAATACCATCTGTGCTGAGAAACTCCTGCCCATTGTCCTGCTGCAGAGCAGCTTGGTGAGGCTTCACTCAGTGCCCTGATCCCGCCAGCACAGCCTGAGGGGCTGGGGGCTGAGGAAGCCTTACTCCAGTTGGCCTGCAGAGCGTGGGTGCCTAGAGTTCTTCTCTTTGGGGGTCTCAGGGCTTCTAGGTCAGCTGCCTCTCCCACCTTGGTACAAAGACCACAGAGGGCTGTAGAGTCAGAGGATCTAAATCCCAGCTCTGTGACTTCAGGCTTAATTACTTATCCTTTGTGCCTGTTCCCAAACCGTGTGCAAAGAAGACTATAGCAACACCTGCCTCAGAGCTGTCTTGAAGGTTAGATGGCACAACGGATACCGACTGCCCTGCACACGCAGGCTCTCAATCAACAAGGCAGGTTTTCACTGGGATCATCAGTGATCTAAGCTGGCGAAGCTCAGGAGGAACTGTCACTAGTGCCGTGCCCGGAGGAGATGGGCAGGAATACAAGCTGGGCCAACGGGACCCAGGAGGCAGCCACACGAAAGCCTTGCCTCCTTTCTGTGCTTCCTCCTTCCCTCTGTGCTGCTCTCTCATCTGCTGTGGGAGTTCTCTGGAGAATTAGTGACGCGATGCTGCTTCCAGGCAGGCACAGGAAATGGGGAGCTGGTAAGCCACAGCCTGGCCTCTTGGGATGGACTATTACTGAAAGGAGGTGGGACACAGGAGCATTCCTGGGGGAGGATGGGCTGGGCACAGCACAGGGTGGGGGGGCCGAGCGGCTCACCTTTTTGCACAGGCCATGGAGCAGAAGCGCTTGGAACGCTTGAACTTGTAGGCAAAGTCCACCCGGCCACAGAGCTCACACTTGAGTTTGAGGGGAGTACCCTCCTCTTTGGATTCTGAAATGTATGGAAATGGTTAAGTTTGGAGAACAAGTAGTTGTCAACAGCCCCATCACCGGGTCTTCCTACTCCATTCCGTCAGCTCATGTCACAGCTGTGACACCAAAGATACCTAGCTGAGCCTCCTGTCACCATTTCTGGAAGGGCTGATTCCCTCTCTGGAAAGTACTCAAAAGGGTCTGAGGATGCCCCTGCGACGCTGACCATTCTCTTGTCTGAGTGCAATGAGCCTGAGGCGCCCATGGGTGAAGATGTAGCAGCACCCCTCTTGGTCCTGGGAGAGGGGAGCTCAAAGGGAGCACTCGGTGCAGCCACAATTGATCTAAACTTGGTGGAAGCTCATGAAGGAAAAGCTGTCCTTCCCCACCCACCTTAATCTGCCTAGTTGGCTGCGAACCTGGGTAACAGAATCCAGGAGTTCTGTAACCTACACAGGCCCCTCCTTACACTTATCAGTGGCTCAAGTGACAAGTGCAGTCCTTGTCTGGCCGCCACTGAGCCTCAGAGCAGGCCGTGCCCAGTGCAGGCTCCCGAGGCCGTGGAGGAAGGGCACAGGCGGCCTGGCTGCTCCTCAAGCCCTACCCCTCTGCCTGACTCACCCCGAGAAGAGCCCTTGGAGTCCTGTGGTTAGCAGGAGGGCAGAAACAGTTCCCCGCGGGCAGGGACTTCCCCTGTCCCTGCTTCCCAGGAGCTGGGAAGGCACTAGAGGAAATGATCTGTAAGCTGATAATGTTCACACACTCCCTGGCTCCGAGTTCCTCCATGGATACCAAGAAAGATTGTGTGGAAGACCTGCTTTTCCAGACCTGCCTACTTCCTGGGTGGCTGCACACACCCTCAGCGTTCCGGGTCCGAGATGCTTACCTTGCAGATAGGGCTCCTCCATCTCGGAGTCAGTGGTGGTGGTATGGTCCTGCTGTGGAAGTTTCTCAGGCAAAAACCCCTGTGCATACTTCTTTTTGAGATTCCCCACCAGCAGGGACGAGCGTCCCACCTAGAGGACACAGTGACAAGGAGGCCGTCAGGGTTAGTTGGGAAATGCTTCCTTGCCATCCAGCCTCACCAAAATCACATGTCGAAAGCATCCAGGCATAGCTGCCAGCCCTGTATCATCATCTGAGTATGCCCTGTAAAAGGTTTGTTTCGCTGTTTAGCTCACGAGGCAGGATGCTACTGGAGATGGAAGGGATGGCTTCAATCCAGCACCAATGGATGCCTCAGGTCAGGGAAATATCTATCCTTCCCAGTGTCTACGGGGCAGAGACTGGCTTTCCCACACTGCAGCACAGTGTTCACATGCCACCAGGCAGGAACACAACCAAGGCTGTGTGTGGGAGTGGGGTTTGGGGGAGGGGAGACTCAGCAACCATTTTAAAATTTCTTACTGTTCTCCATTTTTACCACTGCCCTACCCAAGCCAGATGTACACACAGCCATGGGAGACAGTAGAAAAAAATGGACTCTGGGCTCAGAGCAAAAATGCCCTCTATGGTTGCAAGGATCCCAGATTGGCTAATTCATTCTTTCGGTCCTCCCTTAGTTGCCTTTGTTCAGGCAGCCCCGTGGCCAGATCGCGAGAGCATTGCTGGGGTACTGAATCTGCATCTGCCCTGAGAGATTGGCTGGTTTCTGGTGTTTCTCCAGGAGGCCAAAGGGAAGACCTAGCGCAGTGGTTGGCAAATCACGGCTTGAAAGCCACCTGCGGCACTTTGGCCCCTTGAGTTTTTAGCAAGGGCCAGCTTAGGAGTGCCCTAATTAAGTTAATAATAATGTACCTACCTACTCAGTTTAAGTTTAAAAAACTTGGCTCTCAAAAGAGATTTCAATCGCTGTACTGTTGATATTTGGCTGTTGACTAAGGAGTTTGCCAATCACTGTCATAGGCCTGGAGCTACTTAGAGATAAGGTGCTCCAGGTGAATTTCTTTGCCACAGGCCTTGACCGCCCTCCAGAGGAAAAGAGGACAAGAACCTATGTATCCTTTGGCATTTCAGAAGGGCAGGCCACCCTTCTCAGTTAATCAAGCGTAGTCTTTTGCTGACTACTCAAATAACTTATGGATCCAAAGAATGAGCAGGAGGCAGATGGCATCCCGTGAGATCGTATGTCTCGAACAGTCAGATACTTTTATCACAGGAGGGGCTATGTGTGCACTGGCTCTAGGCCCTTCCCACCCACCCAGCAGTACCACCTGTCCTCACCAGCTTTGGCTGCTTTGTTCTTATAAGCCATTTTCTTGATTCCTTTATATTTCCCTTTGGTCTTATGCTTTAACTAAAGGCCCAGTGCACAAAATTTGTGTACTAGGAGGGCTGGGGTCCATCAGCCCACCTTGTGCCCTCTTGACAGTTGGACGTCCTTAGCAGAGGCATGAGAGGCTCCCACCACCACGGCTGCACTCACCAGCCAGGAGCCCAGCTTCTGGCTGAGTGGTGCTCCTCCTATGGGAGCACACTGACCACCAGGGGGCAGCTCTTGTGCTAAGCGTCCTAGCGACCGGTTGTTCCCCCGTTTGGTCAATTTGCATATTAGCCTTTCATTATATAGGAGGACTGGAGACACTTGATTTTTGTACCCTTTCTGAAGTGCCCTCACTTTCATTCACTCCCTTTAGAGGCTCTGTCCCCAGCCACAACCCTATCCTCTTCGTTTCAGTTGCATCTCAAGAATTCTCTTCTGAGCAGGTTCCTTTTGTTCTCCGGCCAGTTTTGCCATGCAGAGGTTTTGGTATTCAAAACTGAATGGGGTTTCATTTCAAGGCCACCAAATATCCCTTCTAACCAAGGGGGTCACGTAGCAGAGGCTGGACACAGCTGAGTCTATGTGGAGACCTTCTACACAAGGCATCTGGACAATCATTCCTAATCACTGGCCCCTGTGCACTCAGGAAGCTGCTCAATCCTAGAAAGAAAACGGTTCTGACATTCCTTTGGGGAAAATTAGCAGGGAAAGAACAACTATTCACATTTTTGGAAATTTTACATGGAAACATAAAATATTCTCACACACATCCAAATTATACTTAAAAAAAATAAAGAAAAAAGAGGGGAAAAGAAGTAGTCCGTACCGGGAAAGGCTCCGCCCCCTCCTGGATCACAAACCCTTCGATAACATGCGTCAGGATTTGGGGTTTCACAATGGCCTGTGGTGGTTTATTCTCACCATTCTGGGGGGCAGTGCCGGCGATGCTGGAGGCAGAATTTCCGTTCCCTGAGGTCATGCCGGGGCTGCTGAGGTCGGTCAGTGCATGAACAATGCCCTGCCCTGTCTCTGCACAGGGAAAGTAGGGAAACACAAGCAGGGAGGTCAGAACCTGGTCCAGGAGCCAGGGGCTCAACACGAGCCTGGTACCTTCGGTGGAACCAAGCCACAATGCAAACCAAGCAGTTCCCTCCCTCAACCACCAATCTGATGTGGCGTCAAGGGATACACCACCAGGGTGACTCCAATCAGTTGTGCAGCAATGCAGCTAATCAGCTGGCAGTGTTTCTAGACTTCCAACTGTGTTAACAATTCAACTACGTGAAACAGACAAGAATCTTGCCTTTGAGGAGTTAAGAGCTTGGTCAATATTGATATGGACAAATAAAGTAACATTCAGTTCAAGGGAGAAAATATATTCAAAGTGGTATCTGAAACCGGATTGAGAAGCTGAACTAGGCAGAAGACTAGGGGTATAATAGGGTTTGGGAGAGTTAAAGTGAACCCTCTATGACATTCCCTGGAAAAGGGTTAAAGTGTCCCGTGAAATGTCAGAGTACTAAATCCCAGAAGTCAATGCAACGGGAATTTGGGGAGCTGAACCCCAAGTAAACACGGTCACACAGATCTGACGGTTGCGAGCCCGGGCACTGCACGGACACACTGCTCCGGTCTCCGCCCAGGAGGCCGCGGGCCGAGCGGAGGCCTTCCGTGCCGCTTCTGCTGGTGCTGAGCTCAGCCAGGCCTCCTGCCCGTATCGATCTGATGCTCAGCCACCAGACTCCTTCCCGCTGCCCCTCTGAGCCGTCCTCTCCTGGCCCCGCTGGCCTTCCTCTGAAGACCTAACAGTGCTCCACAGGCGTGAGGGGGGCCACACAGAACCTCGCCGCACGCCGCCTCGGCTCCACTTCCCGCAGCTCCTCTCAGGAGTGGTGTTAGAGGTGCCAGACTTCACCCCCTCACTTCTGAAACTCTAACCCCTCCTCAGAGCCCCTCTCTACCGCCCCTGCCCAGTGAGCCCGAGGTTTCCTTTAACCTGGAACTTCCTAGGAAAGGGGGAAAAGGAAAGAAAAAGCTATTTTTTTTTTTTACTGCCACAGCCTATTGAGTATAAACCAATGTGTACTTATGTGTTACATGCTTTAAAAAACGATTTCAATAAATTTATTAGCTAAGCATGTTTGCACAAAACTTCCCATGAAGATGTTCTTATTTCATGTTAAAGGTCCAAAATCCTACCATGGAACAGGGTCTAATTATGCAGCATGGAGAAATAAAAATAAACTCATTTTGGAAAAGCTTTATAATGGCTCATTTCTTACTACCGTGTTTCCCTGAAAATAAGACATCCTCCGAAAATAAGACCTACTCACAGGTTTCCTTCTGAGTGAAATATAAGGCATCCCCCCCGAAAATAAGGCCCCCCTAGGCTAAACATGAGAGATTTGGTCCACTGATTCTGAAAGAAATGGAGTAACAAACTCACCAGGAAATTCAGGAATTGGATTGTTATGATGATGTTCCAGATGATGATGACATGATTGTCATTGAATCAATGAGTAAATTCTTGATACTGTAGGATTCAGTTTGTCTGGTTTGTGTTGATAACTACTATACTACCGTACCGTATATAGGTAATAAATTTCCTTTATTTTCATTTAATAAATGTGTACCATATTCTTCTTCATGGAAAAATAAGACATCCCCTGAAAATAAGACCTAGAGCATCTTTGGGAGCAAAAATTAATATAAGACACTGTCTTATTTTAGGGGGGAAAAGGGTAGTAGCCCTAATGCTCAGATAAGCCAGGATAAATCTTTTTTGATGAAAGTACTCAGATCTGCCTAATTCAGCTCTAATAAACTTCATTGCTGAGCAGGAGTCATCCAAGAGATGTAACTGATGCCCCTTTAAAAAAATTCTTCCTGGTTGTGAGAATTATTTACAGTGTTGGTTCTTTTTGTAGAGATAGAAACTCTCCCTCTTTTGAAATCTTTCTCATATGTAAAGGCATTTGGGAATTGGAAAAAAAAACAAAAAACCTTTCCTTCACAAACCATGAATACCTAGGTGGACTGAGTTAATTACATAATCAAGTTACCTTTCTCGGCTCTCAAATGTTAAATATTTAAGTCTGCATTGACATAGTAACTACATTTTCTCTGCTTTGAAATGTTTTCAAAATTCATGTATAGTATATATTTATTTAAAATGATGAATAGATGATAATTAGAATGCTTATTGTGTAAGTTAAAATGTTATTGTTAGATGACGGCTATTTCTTCCTCATTAGAGCCTTGCAAAACATTCTCTGATTCCTCTCATGAACTATGGATTACAGAATCGAGATGAGAAAGTCTGGGCACCCTCTTACCAGTGCTTGCACCTGCTCTGCAATACCCCCACCCAGTGATCTCCTGGCATTTGCTTAAATCTCTCTCGTGACAAAAAAGCTCACTCTCTCTGAAGTAGTTTGTTCCCACCTTGGGCAGTTCAATTAAAAAGTTCTTCCTTATAATGAGCCCAAAATCTGTTAATTTCTGCCCACTTATCCTGGCTGTGTTCCTTAAGACCACACAGAACAAGGCTAATCCTGTGTGTGTAACGGGCAGGAACTCGGGCTGGGGCCTGTCTTAGAAGCTGGTCTCTCTATCACTGAAGGGTCAGTGTCAAGTCCTCATTGTTTTCTGAGCCTCAGTTTCACTGGTGTAAATGAAGGACAGTAACAATACTTACCTCATAGCCTCACTGTGAGCTAACTGAGGCAATGCTAGCACACTAGGAAATGCCCAGGTGTCATGAAGAATGTCTCTCATGACCCCAGAATACTTCTCTCCTCCAGGCCAAACTCCATCTGCTCTTCCAACTGTTTCTTATATATAAAAAGGATTCAAGTTCATCATCATCCCAGGTCTTCTTGGCCTGTATCTTTTTAAGTCTACCCAGTCACTGCAAACATACCGGTAGTCAATGTATTGCTCTGAGAGATCAGGTTGATTTTGGTTATATTAAGAGAACAGGTGGAGGGAAATTAGTGACTTCCATATTTTAGTTCGTAATTCCTTTAGTTTATGAGTCCATTCTTCCCTGAATTCTGCTTTTTTCACTGCTGCTCACCACCATACAGCCTCTGATCCTTGTCACCTTTCACGGGATCTCTTCCTCTGCTGGACTCCTCCCCTTCCCCTCATCCCTTCCCTCCCGCCTCCCAGATCTGTGCCTATTAATATACACTGTATACAACTCTTTGGAGGTCAGATTCTTTCCTCATGCCAAATACAGTGGTGAAAGATACGTTCACCAGCTCAGAGGCGAGAGAGCCAACAGATGGGGAAACCCTTTCTCCTTAACATTAGGAACTATCACTCGGTTACAACTGGGACAGAGGAGCGTGTTTTATGAAGACAGGTTTGCAGACACTGCTTCTCATTCATCTGGTAGCAAATACCTCCTCGTCTGCTTTAGTAACAAAGGAGTTTGGGCTATTTCTGGAACAACAAAACACAATCTCACCCCCGCCAGGCTCAGCACACTGCGATTAATTTAATCTGCTTCCCGCTCTCCCAGACTGCTCTGCGGCCTGCTTGGGGAAAAGCAGCTTAATAGGGAAACTTGCAGAAACCTGCCCTGCTGGCCGGGCGGCCAGATAAAAGACGGAGACAAAGCAATCCTCGAGCGCTTGGAATCCGTCCTTTCTCAGTTCTCTGGGTCAGTCCGAGCTGTAAGGGATGCCTGGGATTCCCAGGGGTCTCCGATACCTTGGTACAGAGGTAGACCCCTGAAATCTGAAAGGGGAAGGCCCAGGCACCATAAGCCCAGGAGGCGGTGGGAGGGCCATAAGGCCGAGCCTCAGTGGTGCTGGTGCTCAGGCTGGTGCTGGGGAAGGTAGAATCTAGCCTTTAATTGGAGCTGACTGTAAGGGCCAAGTATTCAGACCAGAATGAACAGAACACTATGTCTGGGTAGTTGTTACATAATGTGCCTCTCAATCCTGGTTTCACTCAGGCTCTGGCAGAAACAGCCCTTACAGGGGCGGGATAGAGTGGGAAGGACCACCATGGCCTTGTCTGTGACAGGATCTGCTTCGGGATGGTCCCCTTTACCAGGCAGAGCGGGTTTCTTTAGGCAGGGGCTGTATCCTGGTCACCTCTGTGTCTCCAGAAGCTAATGCAGTGTCCACTATATGGCAGATCCTTCATGTCTGTTCAACTGGAATGTATGAAACCCATGGTTTCAACAGGTCTCTCTAGTCTCAAAACAAGCAACTTGCCAGCAGCTGAGATTTGTAAAATTACTGCCGAGGCTATAATGATTTGAGAAGAGCTAGGCTGTCCCTGCTTAAGAGTGGCATTTCTGGGTACCTGGCTATAAAGAAACGTAAGAGATACTCCTTGGCCACTCCTTCCTGTTAAGGCAGGGAAACATTATGCCAGCTCCAGGCACGTGGAAAGGCACACAATGACCTCGAGGGGCATATAAACGTGGCCAGGCCCGCAGGACCGCTGGCAGATGTCCAGAGAGGCTGAGCTCTCCTGCCCTCTGAAAACAGAGGTCATGCTGGCCCGGCTATGCAAAACCTGTACCACCTCAGAACCAGTTCTGATGTTCTTTACATGCACAGGGAAGACATCATCCATCAGTCATTCTGGAATACGTTTAGTACTGTTTACTGTGGCTATTACGCCCTGGCTGCTCATGCTATTTGCCTTGAAGACCTGACTCCAGAAGAAACGGGAGCAAGCACAGCTTCTCCTTCCACCCCCTCAGCTGAACCAACACTTATTTCCTCCTTTCTCTAGACACGAGAGAACTGCACTCGACAAGGCTTCTAACTAGCCTTGCTGGGCTACAGCAGGAGTAAGCCAGAGCTAATGGAGTTAACGAATTCAAGGAAGCAGAGTAGGTGATACATGGGTCATTTGCCTGCAGCAAACTCTGCTGGGCAAATGGGGAAACAAGGCCACCTGTGCTACACGGAGCGTCCTCTCCAGGCCCCTTCCTGGCTCAGAGGTCCTGCTCACTGTGCCCAGCCTAGCAAGGGGTGGCAGCAGGATCCCCGAAGGACTCA